GAGCGGCTCGCAGTACACATGCGACCGGCTCTAGAACATTCACTTTCACATATGCAGAATCCTTTGCATTAATGTGCTCCCCGAGATTGTTTTGCCAATTATATCTGAACCTTTGGACAACTTTATGGACAATGATGCAGTTATATTATCTTGACTTGGATATACACTAAAGGATGATTATGACACCTTGCCAAAACCTTACTGTTAACCTACTGCAGGCTTTTATAATCGCGATTATAGTAATACCGGTTAATCTCTGCAACACTAACGGAGACACACCACTCACGCTGGATTTGACAGTTATTTTGCGGACAATCAACACACACACACACTTGCAGACATGGCTTATTTTATAGATAGATGCTATAGATTCTTCAGAATTTATTCAAAATACTGTTGCTAAGCAGATGAAAAACAGGCATACCAAGTAAATATAGATTATCAACCATAAAATGAGTCAAAGCATCTGCAATAAAAGTCTGGCAGAGAAAGATCTAGCTTGATATGAAATTCCTTCACAAGTTATAATAAGCTTTCTTCGTTTATCTCTTCATATAGTCAAAAAGCTTTGACGGGATTTGACTGATTTCAAGTAAAAAATTCAGGTTATTTGAGCTCTGAAAAGGCATAACAATATAGAAAACAAAAACCGTTCTATAAATTCAACAAAACAACTTCAGCAGGCAGACTTTTGCATTTGTATCCAACATTGTTAAAAGCCCCAAAGTGAGAAACAGAAAGTCAACTGGGCCTGAGGGTTTGTGGACACACCACCCATCGTTCCTCCTGCTTCCTGCAGAGTGTGGGTAGCGCAGCAGGCTTAAGTGCGGCAAAAATGAGAGCAGGTTACATTCATGCCTTTCAAAGTTAACCACTGACTCAAATGGTGCAGGGAGTCAAACATTTACCAGCCACCGCCACACATATTACCATGAGCAGCCCATGTACTGTTGGACGGAAACTTACGTCTGCACACAAACATATTTACGCAGTCCCTGGTACTAAAATATTAAAACTGTATTACCGTAAAGAGAGTAATATTGCATCGTTGTAAAATTGGATGCGTGTATTTTGATGTTATTCGAACTGGGAGAAAAGTACAGCCTCATTAATTATGTAGGCTGTTGGTTTCTCAAATAGTCAGATCTATGCGTTTTAAAGCCTGGAACTGAAAAGGACATGCATTAACTTGGTGTCATCACTTTTACATAACGACTGGGTTCACTGAGCATAATTGTTTGTATTCATTTATATAGATGCAATTAGAGGAAACCTTTTCAACTAGCGCGTCTTCTTCGGCCCAAAATAATGAAGCATTCAAAGTCATGACAATTACTGTACATTGCATTATCCAATGTAAAAAAAATCGTGTCTTTATGAGAAAAGAACAGAAAATTGAATAGTTAAATTAATTGTCAAACAGCATATAGGATAATGCTGTAGGTCACAGGTGTTAAAGTCAAGGCTCGGGGGCCAGATCTGGCCCGAGAGACCATTTCCAGTGGCCCTTGAGATGATTTCAAATTACTATATAAAATTAATGGTAATAGGCGACAATCCATAACCGTTTAATTCCATAAGAAATGTCAAGCCAACATGTCATTAGAAGTTAGTATTGTTATGTTGTGTTTTTTACAAGTCTTCAATTACGTTTCTTCTTAAATATATGAAGGAAGATTTCCCAATTTTCTTAGGAAAGAACCGCCCTCTCCACTTTTTGAACAAAACTCTCTGGTCTTATTTGACGAGCACAAATCACCAGAATGATGGACAATTAGGAGGACCAATAGTCTCGATGATTCACCCAAAAGTAGAAAATCCTCCCATATACCTTCAATATTTGGTCCATTTTTGGTTCAGTCCACATGAACTGAACTAATTCTAATCAGAAAAGAATGTCCAATCCAACGAATGTGAAACAAGTCATTTATTTAGATACCTTCATATTCCAAAAAAAAGTATTAAATGAAACCCACTTGGCCCCTGACCAGCTCTTTCTTTTTTTATTTGGCCCTCAACCAAAATAAGTTTGACACCCCTGCTGTAGGTGATATTGAAATTGTCATTTTATATTCAGATTTGCCACATTTGAGAATATGTATTTGGCCCAGAAGTCATTATGAAGTTAATGTGTAGTGTATTCTATATAAAAAAAATTAAACAGAATAAGGATGAAAAATAATACAAAAGCTAAAAGGCTAAATATATAATATAATATATATATATATATATATATATCTATATATATATTATAATTATAGGCAATCCTCCATTTCCAGGAAATAATTCAAGCAGTAAATTGTATTAGCTAACACTGCTGTTGATATTCATAAGAAAACTTGAGGGGGAAATGATGACACAACAAAACAAATCTTGCAAGGTGAGCAGACGGACAAGCCCAGGGAGCTGTGAGTGGGGAGGGTCCGCTGAAAAGTACCACATTAAACTTTTCAGCAGACTCATGACGCCATCTCCCCTCCTGCTGCAAGTGCACAGAACACACTAAAGTCGGCTGGCTCAGGGCTCACAGTCACAGAGGCTGTCAAATCCACTGCTGCCAGTCACTCCAGGCCCGTAATCGTCACCAAATCCACAGCTCCAATTAAACCTAATGTCAGTCAATGGGAATTATAACCGGGAAGACAAAATTAGCAATAGCGGAATAGTAGGGCCAGCTTTAGTTGGATGATAACTGCATTTTGAGGCATAATCTTAAATTGACAAATACTTCTCCCAAGAGCATGGCAGCTTATAAACATCTCTGTATAACGGGCTGATCCTGTATTACGTCTGAGTAAGGCTGGCTAAAAAATGAATAGGCCGGTCTACTAATAATCATACACAAAAAGTCATCATTGCTGACATTATTATGCAACATTGTACAACAAAATTACTGAACACTGCTGACCTAACCTCCCATGTCTTGTCTGTGCAATTTGTCAGAATGTGCAATATGCTGCACATGTACAATAGCATCACATACTGCTAACATTTACAGTAGTTTTGTGAATATTTAAACCCACAGAGCTATTTACTTCAATGTAGAACAAATTTATCCGATTTATCAATAGTTGTAACTTGTATACTTAGGGGCGACAGTGGCTCAGTTGGTAGAGCATTGGGTTCGAGCCCACCATGAGACCTTCTCCAACAACTCCCACTGATGACTGCTTTCATTGTGTCCTTGGGCAAGACACTTAACCCCCTGTTGAAAGATCAAGGCTATGCCATGGAGCTGCCATCTTCCTGTGGACTCACCACCTTCAAGAGGATCAGTGAGGGGCTGGTGCTATGTGTACTGGGTGGCATCTCTGGCCAACCCCCCGACCCAGAAAAGGGGTAGAAAATGGATGGATGGATGTATACTTCTGTTCATTAAAGCAAATAACTTCAATTATCACTTATAAAAGTAAAAATTACTTTGCACTAGAGTAAGATTTTAAGTATAGATTGGCGCTATTCTTAAAATATAGTTATTTATTTAGCGTTTGTGTGCTCTTCATGTTGCGTAACTTGATGATGCAACACTGAAATGTATTCACTGTGGGAATAAGGATCTCTAAATGTTAATGTCAATTATATTTAATAACATGTATTCTATATGACAACATATTATCCCAAATCACAAGTGAATGTCTAGTTTTTAATAGGGTTTTAATATTGTCTTGCCCAAAATAAGTATTGATGCGTATCTTTCCTGTGTAATAAAAGTACGTTTAACTTGTTATTAAGTATTATGATAATAAATTCAATGAGATTCCTTTCAGAGAATAACTCAATAGTCTCCAATTATTGTTTTACATTGTAATAGGCCAAAATGTTTATAATGGTAAAGTGGTCCATGTTCATGTTAAAAATGGTCACATTGCAATGGACTATCTCACATTTAAACCAGCATCATTCCAAAGTGACTAACCAGCACTTACCCGAATAGTTTCATTTTTCCTTATCTAAGTGAATGCGGTTTCTCTAGACCTAGACCTAAATGCAAACAAGTACAGGGTATACATGAGCGCTTGTGGGGGTTGGGGGCCAACTTTGTGCCTATAGACATGGGAGATGAAGCTCCCACTTCCAAACAGGACTCCATTGTGTTGCCAGAGTGACAAAGCAGTTCCGCAGGTCCCTCCTTCACCTCTCTCCCTCCTCCTCCTCCTAGTGCACCTTACACCGACAGGCCGCCCTCGCTCACCCTGCACTTCCTGCTTTCATTCATTCATATGACCAAACTCAGAAACAAACTGTCAACCGACTGGAGTATATTCTTTTAGTGGCTACTATGTAACATTTCAAAGTAGTAAGTCACTTTTCCTTAAATGATTCACCTGTACCTATCTCAAGGCCGAGTGAAGTTAAAAAAGAGCCCATATACAATTCAATAATCATCCAATTATTAAATCCAAACTGTGCTCACAGCTCAAGGTAATAACTCAAGCAACATAAAACATCACCATGTCCGCTTTTAAGTAACAACTATAGGCATTTCAGATATTTCTATCCACTAAATAAGTATGTAGGGTATCATTAAACTATGCTCAAGACAAGAAATGGCAGGGTTCCCAAAAATATAGACTATGGCAAGTCCAGTTTCATCCCAAAAGAAATTGTCTGGGAAAAAAAAACTAAAGACTTATAATGTAGTATGTCAAGTAATACTTTATGGCTGTTTTATGCATGTAGAGACATGAAAATACCCAAGACTGTTTAAAGTCTGAATAGAGGCATTGGCACAAATTATATATTGAATTGCGTGTGACAGTGCGCCAGCAGAGTATGTGGACAACAATGTCAGCAAATGAATAGCCTATTAGACAGCAATTAATTGGTTGCAAGGTAAGGTCTCGTGAAAAGCCAATGCAAAGTGTTTCATCAAGTTAATCCACCTAATTTACAAAAATAAACTATAATACAAGTGATGACACATGTGTGACTAGGTCTGAGTCCACAGGCAGTGACAATGCACTGTCGGGCCTGTCCTGAGCCTCGCATAAGCAGCTTACCAGGTTGAACACAGTCTCCACGATGTCTCGGTTGGACACTTCTTTCACTTCCACCAGTCCAGCCAGCACCGCGAACTTCATCCGTATCCCCCTGATGGGCACGCCGGGGTTCAGAGCCATAGCGCCCGTGGGGGTCCTGTCGTCCTCTGCTGTCTCTGCGCTGGCCATGGCTAGTTGAACAATAGACAGACAAGTGCAATCCACAGGTAAGGCACCTGTTCACACTCCAATGTCCCCTATCCCACTTCACATGAGCGGGTGTCGGGCACGCAAGCACTCTGTTTGTCTCCCCATTCAAAACACCTCAACAAAAGGCAGCAATAAAGTATCCAAGTGGAAAATTGTTCGCTGTTGACAGTGGAAATGTCACCGGGAGCGCGCAATGAACTCCTCTCCTCCTTTTCTTCTTGCGGACGCGTAACTTGATACGAGCCGGATGGATTAATGATCCCAAAAGAACTACGACCCAGGTAGAAAAGACAGAAGATAAAATGGGGAGAGAGAGAGGAGGATAGTGACCTCTCCTCCACAGGGCGGTCAAAAGGCAAACGAGGACAGTCCGTGCGTGAATGATCCGTGTGCGCTGTGGTGAAGTTGTCGCTTCTATGACTCCTGACAGGTAGAGCTCCTCAAGGCAGCGAAAACTCACAAACTGGAGGAAGACAAGTCCCGGGGCGGCGTATTCCGACAGCGAAAGTGCACAAATAACAGCAGTGCCCCCCGTCCTGCTCTGGGAAGCCCGCACGCTAACTCAAATGCCCGCAAAAAGCCAGCTGCGCCGCGGTCTCTTCCTGATTTTACCTCCTTCAGCCCGTCAGCGCCATGACAGTAGAGCACCGTAAACAGCGCATGCGCAGTCTGTACCCTGGGTAGCCTGCCTGAGCGTGTGTCTGTGCGTGTGTGCGTGCGTGTGTGCGTGTGTACAGTCTATGGTGAAGAGTGAAGCGCGCTATGGCAGGTGTGCTCCGCTCAAGTCGCTCTTGAAACAAGTCTGTTAGATTACTGTGGCTTTATCTTCATTTTTCATAAGCGGATTTTCGAAATGGTGGTAAATTATAGGTGTAGGCCAGGCGAGTTTTATAGCCAATCCTAAGATTGTTTTAGGTCATAAGGCTCTTTCTTACAAGTATGCAATATGTGTTGTATGTTTTCAAATATGATTAACATAACCTTTTTTGTCCCACAGTGGGAAAGTGACAGTGTTGCAGAACAATAGGAATGAGGAGCATACAACACAAGTGAATGTAAAACAACCCTATACTTAAAAAAGGTCTTTATTTAGCTCAATAAAGAAACAAAGTATAAAAAAGTATAAACGTATAAGGTATAACCCTGTATACTGGAGTGCAATGAAATATATGGATACATCTAGACTGCATTGCCGGCAGTAAATCAGACCTGTTCCCGGTGCATGTTGGCCTCTGCCAAGGCTGCCCTTTGTCACCGGTTCTGTTCACTGTGGACAGAATTTCTAGGCGCAGCCAAGGGCCAGAGGGGGTCCGGTTCGGGGATCACAGGATTTCATCTCTGCTGTTTGCGGACGATGTTGTCCTGCTGGCTCCAACGAACCAGGACCTACAACATGCTCTGGGACGGTTTGCAGCAGAGTGTGAAGCGGCTGGGATGAGAATCAGCACCTCCAAATCCAAGGCCATGGTGCTCGACCCGAAAAAGGTGCCTTGCCCTCTGCAGGTGGGTGGAGAGGTCCTTCCTCAAGTGGAGGAGTTCAAGTATCTAGGGGTCTTGTTCACGAGTGAGGGAAGGATGGAGAGTGAGATTGACAGGCGGATCGCTGTATCGGACCGTTGTGGTAAAGAGGGAGCTCAGCCGAAAGGCAAAGCTCTCAATTTTCGTTCCCTCCCTCACCTATGGTCATGAGCTTTGGGTAATGACCGAAAGAAAGAGATCGCGGATACAAGCGGTCGAAATGAGCTTCCTCTGCACAGTGGCTGGGCATCTGTTCCGGGTGCCTCCTGGACGCCTCCCTGGGGAGGTGTTCCGGGCACGTCCCACCAGGAGGAGGCCCCTGGGGAATACCCAGGACTCGCTGGAGGGACGTCTCTCAGCTGGCCTGGGACGCCTTGGGGTCCCCCCGGACGAGCTGGAGGAAGTGTGTGTGGATAGGGAAGTCTGGGCGTCTCTGCTTAGACTGCTGCCCCCGCGACCCGGCAACGGATGAAGCGGAAGAAAATGGATGGATGGATGGATGGACATTATTGCACATTCATGGGCAGATGCATGACACGTGAGTTCAGATAATGAGATAAGATAGACAGAAAGTTGTTGTCTGATTTGTTCAAGATGTTTGGGCATCCTTGGTTTGGGCTACTCGGAGGGCCATTTGTTAGAGTCCCTTTAAATATTAAAATTTAAACCAGTTTCCCGCACTTATTTAGCTATAAAGCACGTAATAAAGCTGTCTATACTTGTTTGGTGCTCTCATATCTCCACTAATGAAACATGATGAGCTCCAAGTGCACTGGACTTCTTCACTTCTTTTGGACTAAGTGCATACACTCCTGAAAGCTTGGTTTATGCTGGATGTTTCAGTTGATGTGTGCATGCAGAACTTACATGTTTTTTGAAGAATACAGGGAACATTTTTGACATAGTTGTCAGGGTCAAATTTGTAACGTCACAGTCTTATTCACACAAACTGGCCTCATATAAATGCTGCAAACATCTTGCATCATGGTGTTTGTGCGTCACATTCTTGCGCGTCTTGTGCATGCAGAAAACAGAAACCAAGCTTGAGTGTGATATCTGCGGAAAGGGGAGTCCTCTTACTACAGGAATGGAAGTTTCTGACCATATGTTATCATATAAGTAAAAGGAAAAACAAAGTAATCTATGGCAACATCAAGCACATGGCGGACGTCATTACAATACCAACTTAATTGTTTGTGGCTTATTGTCCAAAGCTTTTCTGTTCTGTTGGTCTCCATGGTAATATGATACATAATTCACATAGTCCACAGTGTGGCGTTGAGGTCATCATTCTCAAATCAGTGACTTTCAGCTTTGTGACCTTCCAACAAAAAGGTTTTTAGTCTGCTTTTAAGAACAGTCTTACTTCCAGAGGTTACATCAATTAACACATTGTGAATATAGAATTGTTAATTGATTCACCATTTTGATCTCAAATTATAAACTAGCAAAAGAATAAAATGTATAATTAAAGCAGTTCTGTAAAGTTTCAGATGGACACAGATGGAGGGGTCAAACCTGCAGCTTTCTCTTGCTGACTGGTAAATAAATATCTTATTAGCTACTGTTTACACATTGCCTATAGAAAAGAAGATATAAAAAAAAATATGCAGCTGTGTGTCGCAGAACGGCAGATGTCTGCATCCTCCAGCAATGAAGCACAAACATTAAGGCAATGTGACAGCTCTGCTTTCTCATCCTTTTATATCCTACCTCGTCCAGTTACTCCATCCATATTCATACTTGTGTAAAGTAAGCCGTAAGAATGTTGTAAAGTGTATTGTAAATATATCATTAATACCTTGTTTTGTATGTGATGTGATACTTTTATGGATGGATGAGCAGCAGCGTTGCCACAGACGCAGCTGCATCACAATTACCACTGACCTCACTACAGAATGGCACTGAACCCTGGGGGACCGCACCATGGAAGCACAGTCACCCAGTGAGAGACTCAGGCCATGTCCCTGATGTAACAAGCTGAAATGTACTCCTCACTTTGGCCTAATGCTCATACTTAAAAGTGTCCATTTGTTACTTTTGGTTCTATCAAAGCCAGTGAAAAAGACTGATAACTCATTTTGAAGGCATATTGCATTACACTGTAAGTACTAGCTCTTTATATTCACCACTAAACAGTTTTATCCATGACCTACGAGTAGAGAATAAATAATGAGAATGACATTTAGTGCAACAGTGTATCCTTAGACATGGATTGTTTAAACCTGGGAGTATTCCATATTTATTTTATTACAAAGGGTAGGTAATACTTGCATGACATGTTAGCGCGCCTTTATACTGGTTGTACTTGTTCCAAGATCAGGTTGGTAAACTGATCTCAATAATGTGGAAAACTGTTTTTTTTATAAATGTACTATGTTGAAATGTATTTGACTTCTACATTTTTAATAAAGGTTTTAATTTTGTGAATTTTGAAGATAAAAACAGAATTTGCAACACAACAGTTGATGCCATGGGGTAACCGACCAACCATGTAATACCCTGGGCCAAAATATAAACTGATTAATTTAAAGTTGGGTAGCCTATATTCTTCCAGAAATAATATTTTGTACCAACAGATTCATTCACATGTCACACTTGTGAAAGTACAAGCCAAGGAAGTACTGCTTCATATACCTGACATGTTTCAGCGTTACTTCCTCCTTTTTCAGAGGTGACGTGATGATGTGACGTGTCTCTTATCAGCTGTTGTTACCGGATGCGGTCAGTCTGACCACAACCCCTGCTGCATTGTGGTCTCTAGAGAAGTGAGTCCAATGTGTGAGCCAAAGTGAAGGCACCCTTGTCTCTGTTAACAGTTCATGCGCTCCTCTTCCTGATTTCAATAACCTCTTGTATCCATATTTTGTACTTATGCAAAAAAGAAAATCATGCAATGGACTTGGAAAATGCAAAAAGTAGTAGGAACAGAGGAACCTATAAGTACACAAGATGAATACGATGGGCAATCCCAACCAGGAAGTAGGGCACACGGACCATCAACAGCCAAATTGTTTTCAGATTGGGGAACAAGATTTTATTGTATTGTTATTTTTTTGTGGTTTAGATATACATTTTAAAAACTGCAGTTTTATTGGCGTAAACATTTCAATTACTTGAAACAGATGAAGAAATGTCAATATTAGGGGAAAAAAACAAAAAAACAACAACACTTTAACACGTGTTGGAATTATTTTTGCCTTTATTACATTGTCTTTTTTTCTGACAAAAATGGGAAAGCGAGAGGAACACACTCACTCAGCTAATTGGCTCTCAACCCAAATGTATCAAATTGTGATAAGTAAGTCATCTTTATTTATGTAGTGCTTTTCACAGACCAGACTCACAAAGTGCTTCACATTTTGTCCTCTCACTCCACACAGAGAATGATAATTGTAACTCACAGCGGTATTTCTTACTATGACTTTGTTTGTGCAAAAAAAAAAATCATAAGATAAGAAGCATGTTGAGGCCTGTCTTTTTCACAACATTTTACAACATCTCTTTCTTTTTCTGTTGCAACAAACAACATGTATTATTTATGAAAAAGTTAGGTGCCCCAGTTTTTATTTATATTAAACGTAACTAACTCGTTAAAATAATATCCTGTTGAAAAACGAGATGAGAATAGAATAATGTGCTAATGATAAACAGACTATAACACTTTATTGTCACCAGAGGGAGCACGCACGTGGGCTCAAACCTGGTCGGTCTCGCGATACTTCACCACTCCGCGCTCGGACTCTTTAACCATCGCGAGATTGCCCACTTCCTCCTCTTTCACTCCCTGTAGCCAACATGGCAGTCGGCAAAAATAAGAGGCTGACCAAAGGCGGCAAAAAGGGTGCCAAAAAGAAGATGTAAGTAGTCAATTCTTGCACTATAAAGTAGCGCAATGGCTTCTGCACACACACGAGTACTAATGATGAGATTATTGTAAAGGATGACACCGATATGTAGCAGATGCATCCGGGCCAGCGCTGGGCTCTTCTCCGGTAGCTTAGGTTGCTCACTGGTTCACATGGCTTTTCTAATGTTTAGTGCGCTATAGTAGTGTACACATAGTATGGTAACTCGGGCACATGGATTTGTATGACCCGAAGTCTCGTAACTTATTATGACGTAGTATTTAACATGTGAGTCCTATGTAAATGTTCTGAGCTTTCCAAGGACCATGGAGGCTTAGCATTGTAGGCTAGTTTTGCTAGCTGCTGATCGAGCATGACCAGGGGTAAATAACTCTTAATATTTTATATATTTGGTGCGTGCAAAAGCGTGGCATTATCATTTCAAGCTTATATTATGATTTGAACTCGCTGGTATATTGTAGCACCCACATCCCAGCTGCCCAATTGTTACTTTAGTTAGCATAGTAATTGCCATAGTGTGCTGTTTTTGCAAGTGACTACATTTGTTTTTGTTGTGCAGTGTGGACCCTTTCTCCAAAAAGGACTGGTATGATGTCAAGGCACCAGCTATGTTCATCATCCGCAATCTTGGCAAGACCTTGGTCACCAGGACTCAGGGAACCAGTAAGTTTGTATAGTTATTACATTTACCTCAAACATGGTTCGTTCTCTATGATCCCATGTAATTACATTGGCCATTAGACTGGGAACGGGTGATGACAGAATTTGAAATGATTGTTTGGTGATTACTTTTGATTTGAGATTATCTGACTTTCCCATTGAGTTAATTGACTTGTCTAATCTGGGGCAGTGTTTTGTATGGGGAACTGACGTAAAATGTTTTCTTGTAGAAATCGCCTCTGATGGGCTGAAGGGCCGTGTGTTCGAGGTGAGCTTGGCTGACCTGCAGAACGATGAGGTGGCTTTCAGAAAATTCAAACTGATCACTGAAGACGTCCAGGGCAAGAACTGTCTCACAAACTTCCACGGCATGGACCTGACCCGTGACAAGATGTGCTCTATGGTCAAAAAGTGGCAGGTAAGGTACCTCAATTACAGATATTGGTGGTTGTACTAATCTGAGAAGTATTAAGGCACTTGTCATACATTTGTCGAAGTATGACTCCCACCCTTGCTTTTTGCTTTAAATTCCTCAAACTAAATTCTTTCTATTGCCTTCACTCTGTTTTTCTCTACTCTTTAAAACTCATTGCAGTCTTGCTTGCATTGCTTAACCATTGTGCTATCCTCTGAACTTGACACGGAGCAATAAATTGAAAAAATACCCCTAAACGATTTTGTTGCTGAATTTTGAACTTTCTTAACTTGACCAGTCCATGGTCATTTAGACTCTAAAAAGGCACGCTTTTAATCACTGGTGGGTCATTTTGACATATGGGTTAACATTTAGGTCTCATTGGAAAAGGGCAGTGCTTTCCAATGTGAGCGTTTATCAATCACTCCCAAAGTGTTGCTGGACAAATGCAGTAATACAAATATCTATTGTGTACAGACCATGATTGAAGCCCATGTGGATGTGAAGACCACAGACGGCTACCTCCTGCGCCTGTTCTGCGTGGGATTCACAAAGAAGCGTACCAACCAGATCAGAAAGACTTCATATGCCCAGCACCAACAGGTCCGCCAGATTCGCAAGAAGATGATGGAAATCATGACCCGTGAGGTGCAGACAAACGACCTGAAGGAAGTGGTCAACAAGTTGTAAGTAAAGTTGTTTGTAGGTCAAGTTCTTCGATTTGTTGTAGTTTTGGGCTAACCGGACTGTAAATGGCGCTTTTCAGGATCCCTGACAGTGTTGGCAAAGACATCGAGAAGGCCTGCCAGTCAATCTACCCTCTTCACGACGTCTACGTTCGCAAGGTCAAAATGCTGAAGAAGCCCAAGTTTGAATGTAAGTGAGAGACTGTTAACCTTGGAATGCATGGTACAAATGCATTACTTCTAAAACTTCTGTCCTTTCCAGTGGGAAAACTGATGGAGCTCCATGGTGAGGGAGGTGCCAGCAGTGCCACAAAGGGCGCTGGTGATGATGCTGGAGCCAAGGTGGAGAGGGCTGATGGCTACGAGCCCCCCATCCAGGAGACAGTCTAAAGCCCTGACAGATTTAATAAAAAATGTAAATGACAATAAGGCCTTTGTTCTTCTTGGCACTGACTGCCCAACTTTATTTCTAGCAGGCCTGTTGGTACAATGTTAGTAAACTGATTCAGAAAAGCAAAGAGCTCTGTGCAGTAGTTATGTAGACCCAAAGATGCTAAAAATGAGTTAAATGGCTAAATTGGTTGTATTTGTTTCCAAATGGTGCATTTGGTAATGGCACCCATATACTAGTGGAATTTCTTTACTAAACTGCCTGTCGTCAGTCATTGGAGCAATTACTGTATTGTGCACTTGGAGCTCATAAGGAATGTTATGCGGATAGTAATTAACGAGTAAGCACTATCCTAACCATCCTAGTGAGGATTGCTAATTGAATATCAACTTTACAACTAAACCCAGTTAGTGCTTTTGGACACTCAAGCAGCTTTACATGTCACTTTCACTCCATACACGGCTGTGATAAACTGCTACTGTAGCCAGCTGCCCTGGGGCATACTGACAAGCGAGGCAACCAGTATGTGCCATCGGCCGCTCCGACCACCCATTCCCACACAGTCTAGGCATTGGGGGCCGACTGTCTTGCCAAGGACACAGTGGGAGTCAATGACGGTCAGGCTCAAACCCTCTGGCTCAAAGGTTAACGTTCTACCAACTGAGCTGTGGCCCATGGTTTAGCTCTTTTCCTTCCCCCAGACTAAGTTGCATAAAGTTATGAAAAAATTGACCACTTGTAGTTCACAGGTGAGCAAGCTTACATTAAAAAAGGTTGATACATTATTTGGTAAACATTTATTGACAATGCAAATTCTTTAATTTAAAACAGATACAAAACAAAAACTATTTAAATACTATGATCCTCTAGATGGCGGTGTCACAGGACCTCTACATAGTTTTTTGGGACCAGAGCTCTCTTTCCTCCAAGATCACCCAGGAACCACTCGTCATCCACAATCTCTATATTGGTGACCCTGTCCCCCACCTGCAGAGATGAAATACAGTTATGATCTTTTTTTATTTTTTATCTATCAATATCTGAAACCTTGAGAGAGAGCTCCTCATCACAATCAGATTCATAGTCGTACAGCGCTTTGGCACTCACACCCCCGGCTGATCTATTCTGATGACTAGATGTTTTACCAGCTAAGGACAACACAATTTAACAATAATACTTTTTGGTGATTATATCATGAAATACTAAAGAATATAATTGGTTTACCTGTGTTTGAGACAAAAGCACGGGGGAATATTCCTTCCTGTCCGTTGAGCCTACCACTGCTCCACTCCTCATCGATGTGCTTGGTGACAAGGATGCGGTCTCCCTTCTCAAAGGACAGGTCGCTGTCTGAGTTTCCAGAGAAGTCATACAAGGCGACAGACCACTCTGAGCCAGACTGAGAGGACCAACAGTAGTAACTCAAGATTTAAGTAGGCACATGGTAATGAGGTGGTTTGAACAGAAAAGTAGTAAGACATGAGGGTTACCTGAGCTTGTGAGGTTTCTGGAGTGAGTGAAGATTTTGACATGCCTGCAACATAAATGTAACTAGATTATTCACAATAAATCAATGATCTCAATATTTCCTAAAATATCAAAGAATCACACAGGTCCTAAATTGCAACAAATGAACAGAACTTTATATTGTTTATAAGGTCAATCCTCAATAAAAAATAAAAAATGTATTGTGAAAAAGTTAGGTAGGTCATACCTTACTTAATTATACAGCATAATCAACTAGTAATAAATTAGAATCTTTTTTTTTTTTCCTTAAAAAAATCCACAGTGATTTCACTTTGTCTTATTTTTCAACTGCCAAAATAAATCAAGCGAGTATAATACATCCAGTTTAACAAACTAAAATGTTGGATGTTTGTCATGTTTGGGGGTGGCCAAAATGTCATCATAATGAAGGAATTGCCATCTGGCAAATTTTGCTGTTAAATTAAATCACAACTAAAGCACATTCCTGACATGCCATATACAGGCCTTTCAGTGTGTTGTCAAATGTGAGCCCTATCGAGAGTTAGGTCCGTCACGACTGAGCCCTTCCACTTATTAAAGCTGCCCATTTAGTATTTATTTAGGTTAAATGCAATGCAAATTTCCACTTTTGAACAGTTAAGGTTATAGAGGTTTTTAAAAGGCAAAAAAGCTATTCATTATAAAAGATAGAAGGGATTGTATTTTATTTCAAACTAGAGCTTTACTAATCATGACTGCAGGGGCAGTCGTATAGAGACTCAAATCTTTTTAGAAATGTAAAATATGAAATATGTTACAAGATGTGTTGTGGTTTGTAGAGATGTATTTTACATCTATAGACACACTCAAAAATAAAAAAAAGTTGAGCTCTTCCATTCCAGGCACAACAAAATCCACTTTTTAACAATATTACCATTTGATCATGCAGTCCTTCACCTATCATCACGTTTAAATATAAATAAAATGCTCTGACACTATTTGAAAACCAGCAATAGTGTGATGGCTGCTATTATAAAAGATACTTAATTGTAAATAATGTTTACAATTAAGTAAGTGAGTAATATTAATTAATTCCTCGTTAAAAAATAAATAAAACGTGTAATGTTTCCTGTTTAATAATAATTCCAATGGCATGTCCCTGATTACTACCTTGACCTACTCACCAGGCAGGGCAAACTTGGTAGGCTTTGTGGGCTGCTGACTGTGGCCAGGCGGCAGGTCTTGGATGATCTCCACAAAGTTGAGGGGAAAAATTCCAGTGACAGACCCCAGCTCCCCCCGAGCCCAGTCCTGTCCCACGAAGGCCTTGAGCTGGATCGTGTCTCCCTCAGAGAAGCTCAGCTCGTCACTGTGCTCCCCCTCAAAGTCAAACCTGGCCACGCACCTCGGACCACTGCAAACAGCACAAACATGTGAAATTACACCTTCAGTAATAATAAGTTTTTGTTTGTCACAAGAGTCATTTTATCTTTCTGACACTATTTGGGCTCAGAACTGATTTGCTGAATGAGGGCTAGTACAAATCAGTTTGTACTGATCAGTAAAAAAGCTGATCTAAAGATGTGATAGAGGGCAAAGATGCATGTATGTGAAAACTTGATAGAACCAAACTTTATTGAGTGCAAGGATGGATTTTGTTACATAGTTTAATTGTTTTGTGGTTTGAAAGTTAGGTACCCCGGATTTTAATTGGGTAGTTTTATTATTTTAAAAACCTACCTCACATATTTGGGCATCTAAAGTGAGTAGCTACATAAATTATGCAGCGGGCAGAGCTGGTATCTGGTTTAACTCTCACGCCATTGTAGTCATTTGGATAGTTGCAAAAGGACTTCAATGCTATTTCAAAGTGATTACTCAAAATATCAAAAAACAAATACCTATTTTGCAGGCTTAAACAAGAAGATGAAAATAAATGTAACAAAAAAAAAAGTCTAACCATTACCTGACAGTTGCAGCTGGCTTAGCTGTTCTGTCCGGGGGTCGGGGTGAGTTTGCCTATATGGAGGAGATAATCATAATATTACTGCTTTGACTAAAACATTGCTTATAAGTCCTAAGCCTAGCGGGGCAACGTTATGGGCCCGGGAAGTAACATAAGCAGACACAACAGACATGTTACGTACCCCCAAATGAGACTCAGACAAAGAGTACTGATTAAATGCCGGCCAGCTTTTATTAGAAAACCCTCTGCTATCCCGGCCTCCTCTACTGTAGGGAGCCCGGCGGTGGCCACGCTGTTCCCTCGCCGAAAGGGGACGATGGATGGTGGAGCGTGGGTGGGGAGCGGAGTGCCTCCTGCCCCTGTCCAGGCTCCGGCCAGCCTGGTGGGCCTCGCGCCTCGGAGCTAGGTGCGTTGCTAGCCTAGCCGAGTCCTTAGCCACAGACTCCAGTCTGTCCACTAGGACCCTCATGTCAGGGCCGAAGAGGGACGTTTGGGACACGGGCAGGTCCAGCAGCTGCCTCTTCTCCGCCTCCCTGACGTCTGTCAGCCCAAGCCAGAGGTGCCTGGCCCCGACTTGGGCTGCAGCCATGGTGCGGCCACCATCCACGGCAAAAGCCTGGCTCATGCGCAGGAGAGCCGCGGAGGTGGTCCTCGCCTCTGTCAGGAGGTCTCCGCTGAGCGTCTGGCCAGCGGAGAGCGACCTATCCAGGGCCCCCGTGATAAAGGCCATATTGTTAGCCAACGCGACGACCTGTGCCGCGTTGGCATAACACCTGTCCAGCATAGCCAAAGACATCCTGTCCCGCTCGGAGGGAAGGAGAGGTCTGGCGCCGGGCCACACGGATGCGGAGGGCAGCAGAGCCATGCGGACCGAGTCCTCGATGTCCGGGACACCACCGGTCCAGGACCAGTCCTGCACGCTGCAGTACATGCCGTACCCCATAGCAGGCCTCTTGGCTGCTAGGGGCTTTGGCCACTCACGTGTCGCGTAATGGACGATCGGGTCCATCCGCGGGCACAACGTGGGTTGCTTCCTCCTCCTCCCTCGAGTGTTGGCGCCCACCGAGGTGAAGTCCTCCACCGCCTGGTCCGGCTGCGGGGGTAGAGGGGCGTTCATGATGGCCGCCGCGGAGGAGTAGAGACGGGGCATGTGGTCCAGGGGGAACCGGTCCGGCTCCCGGTTCTGCGACACCGCTTCGTCCAGGGTGAGGAGAGAGCCGTCCTCCAACCCCTCTCCCACGTCGCAGCCTCCCCATTCCGCAGGCACGGGAGGAAGGTCGAGTGGGGCCCAGTCAATCTCAAACTCCTCCTCCTGAGAGGAGTCCGGACGGGGCGCTGTAGCACCGGAGAACGCACGCCTGCGTTCGCTCTCCTCCCTGGGGAGAGCGAGACACGAGGCGCAGCTAGCGCTCACCGCCGCATGGCCCGAACCCAGGCACATGAAGCAGCTGGAATGCTGGTCCGTGCGCTGGAGCCTGACCCGACACAACGAGCAACGACGACGTCCGACGCCGGAGGGCGAAGGGGAAGTCGGACGAACATTCGAGGTAGACATCTCACCAGACATGAAGGTAAGATCTCAAAGGCGCCAGAGTGCAAGAGGGGGCTCGGTCCTTGTGCAGGGGGTTTTATAGAGGGATCCTACGGTCACGTGACTAGCAGCCACGGCAGCCATACTGGAGGACAACCTCGGCGAGTAACAGCTCTGCTAGCTATCTATAACTGGACGTTCAAAACTAGAACTCTCTCGAACCAGCCGCGGCGGCAGGGATAGGCCTGGGTAGGCCGGTGCCTACCAGTTTTTTTTCTTGGCCTACTCAAATTTGTTCTTCGCCTCTCAAGTCATTAGCCTTTTTTATTAAAAGTCATAATTTAAATATTGTTATTTTTATACACAAATTATTGCTAAAGCCTAAATGTTGCGTTCTAATGGTTTAAGAAAATATAACCCCCTGAGCGTCAACACGTTCCTACGTTGCTTCAAATATAGTCCTGTTTATTGGCTGAACAATTTTGTCCAATAAGCTGCATGATCATATCACACAGCGTGAAGCTCGTTCCCGAGAACAACCAGCTATTCCTCGTCTTAAAGATTGACAACGCTCTCAAAACATTCACAACAGAGCAGCCTTTTTCATTTTAGTTTTAAGAAAGTTCATCGTGAACTTTGTGAGGTAGAGTAGCCAGAGGCCCGGGCCCGTAGGTCCCAGAGGAGGAGAGCGCGGTCAGGCCAGGCTCGTCTCTCACTCTAGGCCTGTGTGAGACACACTGTGGGCCTCATGTATGGAACTTGCGTACGGCCAAATCAGGGTGTAAATGAAGCGTACGCAAAATATTACACTTTTCCGCATTTATCTATCTGGACGTGAGCGTACAATACGCAAAAAATATACGCCAGGTCTGGAGGTGATTTCAACCTTCGGCACAACACGCCAAAACACGCAATTCAAGATATGGACAACAATAAACATATTCCCTCTGGCAAAATTATATGCTGTGTTTTCATTGATTATCATGTTTCAAACTTTGAATTGGTGCATCAGAAAAAGTCTAATGGAAACACGCAAACTTGTGTTATGTTATTAAAATGTGAAGCGCTTTGTGATCCTGGACAGTGAAAGGCTCTATATAAATACACTTTACGCAACAGGGATGTGTGACCCGTCTATTGCTGTGGCAGGCTCTGCGCTGCGTAATTACGCACGGCTATTTGTATTCCTCATTCACATCTGGTAAAGCAATGTGTTATTTCATTAGATTTGTGTAAGCCTCACACAGACACACACCCCAATATCGCATCGATGGTATTGCTCACTCACAAATGTCTCACTGCCCTGTCCAGAGTGCGCAGCGAGTGCCGTGAGAGGTCGCGCCACATGTGCAGAAGTTTTGGCTCCAGAGTTTCTTTGTGAAATCTGGACCGCAAACGCTCTCTGAAGTGTACAGCGCTTCAATGCGCACTTCTACCCCGAGCCAGGCTGCGTCCAAGACGCTGCAGACGCTTCATTCATGAGAGCCACCGCTGCATAATATATATGAATTAATTAATTAATTCAATCAATCTATATTTATTCACTTCTACAATTCAAGAGAGATTTTTCTAATGTATCAAAACATTTTAGCAAATTTGTTCAAAACGCAGCTGAATATATAGCGCATATCTATTATTACATAAACATGAACAAACAAACGTGCCTTTTGAGGCTTCCAAACAGTCTTTTTGGCCGGCTTCCTGCTGACCTGTCACGAAGACGTGGCGTGAAACACGCGATTGCTGCATAATTCTGCGTGACTAAGGCCCTGTCCACACGAAGTCAAGCTCAGGCCTAAACGCAAAAATACTTTATCAATCCAGTGTATCGTCCATACGAGGCCGGCGTTTTGGGAGGGTGTAAACGAACATTTTTGAAAGTAGGTCCCAGAGTGGAAAGATTTCAAAACTCCGTATATGCCGCTCCGTGGTTACTGCCTCTCCGCAATGTATCTGAGACGCTTGCGTCATCGCCCCGCCTCTTGTTAAAGCACGCATGCGCCGCACTCAGAAAATAATGACAACAACAATGTAGCTTGTTGGTTTTGTAATCCAGTGTGACCCGAAGCAACAGTTCAACCTCATCGTCCGTCCATACTAATGTAGTACCAGCTCGCCCACTCGCCATGTTGTCTGTTTACAAAATTCCGCGCATGCCCACGGAAGTTTGGGCTTGATCCCGTCATTGCGTCACAGCGCCACCAACAGGTCTGGCATAGTTTCACAGCGTTTTCAGGCGTATTGACTACATTCATATGGACGCACACATTTACTGAGCTAACTCCGTGTTTACAGAAAAAGTTTCTGAAATTATAAGCGTTTTGTCTTCGTGTGGATATAGCCTTAATACGTTCGTATTCAGCCGATTTATCAACACCCGCAGCTGCGTACGCTCAGAACTGGGCGGCTCTCACACGTTCATAAATCCGACGTTGGATTTTGCGTAAATGGAATATACATCCAAAATGTACACCTTTTTCTACGCAAGTTTCATAAATGAGCTTAAGTGTATGTGTGTGCGTGTGCGTGCGTGCGTGCGTGCGTGCGTGTTAGGGCTGAAACAACTAATCGATTAATCAACGATTAATCGATTATTGAAATAGTCGACAACTATTTTAGTAATTGATTAATTGTTTTCTGGTTCACACGGACTCAAACAGAGCAAAAATGACATGAAAATTTAGTATTTTTGATTAAAACAGACTTTGTTTTTATAATTTCATGAATATCTGTCTGTTTCATCCAATCAGATAGCAGAATTAGCACAAAGAGCCTGTTACAAACATTTACTTTAAGTTTACGCCATCAATACGTCCTCAAGTGTTGCCACTTTAGCTTTTTGTGATGAAAAAATGTTTTTCTACACAATTCACAGCCAAGCGATTACTCGATTAATCGTAAAAATAATCGATAGATTAATTGATTACAAAATAATCGTTAGTTGCAGCTCTAGTGCGTGTGTGCGTTTGAACCATATTCTTTGAAACCCCAATTCCAGCTAGCCTTTGTAGTTTGCAAGCGAATTTGGCCTACTTACTAATCTGCGGCCTACCCAAAATTGCAAACCTGTCGCCGCTACTGTCTCGAACTACATGAAAACTGAACAGATAATTTGAAACTTCAGCAGTTAGTAGTGATGGGTCCAGCAACACTGATACACCGGCGCATGTGCCAAGTTCGTTTAGCAAAACCTTGTATCGGCGCGCGTGTCACCGACACGGCAAACTGTGTTTAAAATTTTCCGCATCTGCAAGTGTCACCGGTATGATCAGCTCTCAGAAAAAGAAAATAACCCTTTCAAAAAGGAAAAACATCGCATTTTTATCTACAATCAAGATTTAGTTTGAAACGGAAAATCTAGTTAGGCATGGTGGATGAGTGGATAGCGCTCTCGCTTCCCTTTTAAAGAGAACCGGGTACGAATCCCTGTCGGACCTCAAAAGTTTATGTTGACATCACAGTCTTGAAGAATGATTTCAAGAAATTGAAGTGTAGAAGATGTCAAAGGTTTTTTCAAGTATACTTTAGTTGCCAGGGTTTACAGTGCACTTTGGACATGCTTATTGTTTTGTAAAAAATAAAAAAAAAAATATATATAAAATCACTCAATGACATTTTGCTTAATGAATACATTCACAACTATCATTTTAATTTTCACATAAAAATAAAATAATAACACAGACAATGCAGTTACGTAATATTGTGTACAGACAAATATACATCTCATTGAATCAGTGAGTTGGATGTAATGATTTATCAGATCCACCAGGCGTCAGTATAGAGCAGCACAAGCAACACTGTTGCGGCACAGTATCAATACAGTTCGTTTGATGTGCCGAAACGATACGTGAGGTTTCATTTACCCATCACTAGCAGTTAGTGACCCAAATATATACTCAACCTAAATTCATGAATCAGATCCTCTGGAAATGCGTCCTAAAATGTATTATTAATGTTTATCGTTACATCCAGGTTTACAGCGGTCGCATATTGTCGCATTAAAACAGTGTTTTTTCATGAAAACGTGAACAGAAAATTCTGAAAACCTCTGTGCACGTGTATTAAGAATGTATATGTATAATGTATTCTCCGATTAACATTTAATGTGTTTATTGTTACACCATGGATCTATGTGTGGCTACACTGCAGTGGAAATAATGAGATTACATTCAAATCAATGGAGCTTTCTGCGTCTACTGTGAGGAGCCGTATATTTTATTAATAAATACTAGTACGGGGCACCCTCGAGCACGGCTCAGTCGTTCACATGTCTGCTGGCCTTCGGTAAGTCAGATACCCTGTGAACCGGGTGAGGTCCTGTGTGAGACCAAATATATAACAGCTATGCTACAAGCTAAGCTACAGTCTATGGAGCAACCTCACGTTGCAGTCAGACAGATATGTTTTATCCTTAAACTTCTGTTTGTTTCGGAATAACACTAAATCCGCCATCAAATTGATTTTACTTAGCAGAAATGAAATGATCCGAGCATATTCGGGCGCTCTGGGGGCTACTAGTTTTTTGTTGTTGCGTATGGTTGTGCCATTTCTCTCTCGTTTCTTTGAGATTTCTTCGGTTTTTGAGCCGTGTGAAGTAAGGACGGCTGGCAGTCGGTAACACAACTTATTTTCCCTCTCTCCTTGTGCTGCAACCAAAAACGGCAAAAATTTTGAACATGTTTATGCGGTCCCGGGTGCACGCCACTATCATACAGCGTTTGCTTGTCCTCCAGTATGGCGGATGCCCCGCGAGTTCGAGGCATCGTGACGTCACGTGAGATATCTTTATAGAGGAGGGTCGCTAGTGATTGGAGCATTTATTATTTTCTGATCTCTCAGGCGTGTGACCTAGGGGTCACGTGATATCCCACTAACGAAGTCCGCTAAGGGACGTAGCACCATGACGTAGAACCATACCTGGACTTGGACATAGTTAATAGGGAAGAAGCCGCTGGAGCCTCGGCACGTCCCTCTGTACCACTCACTGTCCACCTGCTCCACCATAGTCACTACGTCTCCTGCTTTTAGACCCAGCTCTCCAGGGTTCTCTGAGGGAAGAAAATAGAGTGTTCATGCATGCCCTGAAAAGCAACAACAACAAAAGACAAGATTTTGCAGAAATTAAGGCTAAAAACTTAGCGTCTTTGTGTGCTAAATAGGAAACATTTTATTTGAAAAAAGCTACTGTGTGGAGGAACTGATGGGTTATACTACTTTACATCTGAGAAAATCAGAATAAAGTTGTGAATCAGCATGTTGTGGACATAGCATACCTGTCAAGTAGAAAATGTACTATAATTAGCAGTGTTTTGCGCCACCAAAATGGAAAAGAGTGTGGTCTTTGGTCTTACTGTTTTTTTAATATAGTTATATGTCGATTTCATGTGCATGTAAATTATTCAAAAATAAAATAATTAGTATAACGTTTATTGCTCCTGTGTGAAGCGCTTTGGCCAGTGTTACAGTGCAATACAAATATACATGACCATGTCGGGTAGTTCAGGTGGTAGATTTCTAAGCAACTTCTGCGTGTAAAGTTGTATTTACAAACAAAATTGTCTAGACTTCTACAAAAGCTCTTATACTGTAAGTCATGTTGATCTTACTCAAATACACCGTCTGCATATAGCATTTTCTAACCTGTTTTAGTTATACTTGTACAAACCTGGGTTAAAGTCATGTAGGACTTTGACTGTTAATCCATTGCCTAATGTTGTTTGCTTGCCTCCCTAAAGAAAAAAAGAAAAACAATATATGATTTTTAGAGTATACCTGTATTGCACAGTAGAGCATACCTGTGTTGCAGAGTCATCCGAGGCCGTGGTCAGTGGAGTGATGACCTTCAGACTGGACCGGTGGACTCTTCCTCTTCTGTCTCCCACCTGACACTCGTACGTATTGGGGTCTATTGTATTGAGCAGCACGAGGACTTCATTTTTCTAGTGTTCACAAAATGTTTATGATCAGAACTATTATGTATTGCAAAGTTCATCATAATGTATCATTTTAAAACTTTGTGTTTAGAGGAAAATACATAATATTGTGATAATTGCTTTAGAAAGACTTGGTCAAGGCAGAAAAAATACCAAAGAAATCAACTTGAAGCTGGGGTAACTAACTTAAAATATGGAACTATGTAAAGAACATGGGAAGATCGATTTTATTACAGTTTGGTTCCATCGCTAATTTTCACATACATGTATGTTTGGCTTCTGTCACATCTTTAGATCAGATTTTTCAAACAGAAAAGTAAAAAAAGAGATGCCACTTTCACTGCAGAGAGCTAATCAGCTCTCTGCCCAAAGAGTCATAGTAATAGTGACTCACAGAACTTTTTCCTACACCTATGCAAAAAATAACATGTTTTCTAATACAGAATGTTATAGTCCTTGTGTTGGGACGAAAAACATGTATTGTTTGTGAATAAAAAGTTAAATACCCCAGCTTTAAATTAATTTAATGGATAATAATACAACTTCAAATCACCTGAAACGAGAGCTCACCACTACTGCTACCATTGTAGTCATTGGCTGCTACAGCATGAGGCACTTGAAGCTGAAACAAAAACCTCTCCAATCAATAAAACTGTGAATAAAACTGATTAGTGCTTTAATTTGTTTTACAGTGTATTTGCTGTAGAGCTTGTGTCCTGGATTGGGTCTAGGGGGCAGCACTGGACCTCTCTTCTGGGTCGCCTGTGGTTGAGAGTCCCATGGAACAGTGTGGGAGCGACCCGCAGCTTCCATACATGGAGCAGGAGGTCTGCCCGGGCCGGACTTCACCGAGGGAGGCCGAGGGGGCAGGGTTTTACTGGTCGTGAGCCTCCTGGAGGGTATAACAATGCTTAATATATGAGATTTAGAAAATTACGGATTTAATTAGGTTATTCCCTAAATACATTTTAGCAAAATAATACCCTTATTTCTTCACAAGCTTGAATACCATTAGGAATTTGATGCCAATATTTCGTTGGACCGGGTAATCTATTTGATTAAACTGAAATTTCCCCACTGTGGGACGAATAAAGGATAAAGGATCTCTTGATGATGATCGGTTCAGTTGATATGTTGACTCATCCTTTGTTTTGATTACACAGGTCTGCATGTCTTGCTGGTGCATTTATCAAACTGAATTTCTCCTTTTTGAGATCAGTATGTCTTATCTTATCATATCAAGGGGTTGCCTTGTGTAGGAAAGGTGCTCTACAAATAAAAGTTGATTGATTGATTATACTGGCTGATATTACCACAAAATACCATATACAGTAGGTTTGACTTTTACTCCAATAGTAATTCTGTCGTTACTCACAGGATCAACAGCTAGTTTAAAAAAACAATTAGACCAATGTTATAAGGAAGACTTCAGTAGTCCTCTGAACTAATCCCCCGCTGTGCACAAGAGTTTTGTTCAAATATTTAAGGAAAGGTAACTGACTACTGGTTATATGATGTTGATGTTGTTGGAATACAATTACACTGCAAAAAAAAGCATCAAAAAATCTGCTCATTTGAGAGGACGCAAAAGGTGAACCATGTGATAGTGAGGGACGTCTGTATTGGCAGATAATGAAGCCAAAGTATTTGGAGCGGTATATCCCTAATTACTATAAATAGGCTACCAATCAATGATAAGTTTTCTTTTTATACCCCGACTCTTTGTGGCCATACTAGCCAGGTCTTACCGTGGCGGTAGTGATGGCTCTGGTGTCGGACTGTGGGACACCTAAAATGGAACAAAGTATCTTTTCAGCCATTTAACAATATAGACAGTATACTCTACACCAAAGTAACAGTGATACAACCCATAGCATTCAATAAAGCTCCACCTGAGGACACAAGAGCTGCTTTGTTCAACAGGGAGGAAAGGGTAAGGTGTATATACAGCAGCTGATATTTTGTCTTTTTGAAATTCAGTACGTTAGAGATAGTTGGAGGATTATTACCTGGGTTGGAAAGGAGGCAATTGAATGCCTGTTGACCGGTGGTGCTTTGCGGGCTCCCACTGATTTCTGGACAGGCAGGGGAGGGGGGTTGTCCTGAAAACCATCTGAAACTGAAAAACACGTATTGAACCCTTTAAAATAAAACATGGGGAGTAATTATGTTGAACAATAATTTACAATTGTATTGTAATTATTTACGCAATTGTTTGCTTATGTTTGAGGGCTAGGCTTTTAACTCTTAAACAGTAGAATTGAGCTAAGTACTATAAGCGGTGATTGCTTTCAAAATATATTATTTAAGAAGTAGAAGAAGCAAATAGCTGAAGCTCAATAAATCAAGATGAAAGCAGGCAGATTTGTCATACCTTCTACAAGAACGTCAGTGTCCATTTATAGAAAAAAACTACAGTAACTAGGACTCAGTAAAGAATAAAATGCATGAAGGAAAAAACATTGTGAGTCAACAGTTTGCGCATGATTATTTTCAATTAGGGCTGTAAATGTTTGAATCGCTAATTGATTATCAATTAGTTGTTTGAATTAGTGATCAATTAATTGATTACCGTTTTCAATCAATTTGACAAAAAACAAAGCTAAAGTGATGCCCCTTGAGAACATCTTCATAGGGACTAGACATATCGTAATTGGTTCCTTAATTAGGACTACTTATTAAGTAATTATACTCACTAATTTACTTCTGTAATTCATCATATAAATGACAGACTCATTTCAGGGAAAGTGAGCAATAAAAGCTGTAAAAACCCAAAAATAAAAATTTGAATATATTAAAAATGGTCTGCAAGCCACAATCATTAAAACTGTAAAAAAAACAAATCCTTGGCAGAGTCCCTTTGCATGTAATGAGTCTGTATATCATATCTTGATAAAGACTAATTACATACAAAGTGTAAAGTCTAATTTTCCAATTACAAAAAATTACAACAATTTCAAAAGTGGATTTGTTGTAATTAACTCGTTACAATAACAATTGAAATTGAGCAGGTTAATATGAAGTTTTAAAATAAGTTGAACTCACATGAAGCACTTTTGCTGGGAACAATAATAGTGGTCGGTCTCCGGTCCAAACTTTGCCTTGAGACATAGTTATTCATAGTTGACCTTAGCTTGACTGGAAGGATATCTGAAATGAAATGGACAGTAATCAAATATCAAGACACAAAATCAGCTGAACGGTTTCTGATGGTCCCACTGGTTAAACAGAAATAAATATGTCGGAAAGCGATTAATAAGCAGGCTCTTGTCCCAAACTGAGAGGTAGAACATAAGCTGCAGCATAAGTCAAAAGGGAAAGGTAAGAGAAGTAAATGTATCAATCTGAACCCATTCCTTTGAAATCAATATTGCAGGGCTCCCCAAAACTTTTTCTGGTCACAAGTCAGACTTGGGGTACAGTTATAAGCAAAGGAGAGCAATAGAAATAAGGTTGGGAAATGTTGCCCCGTTAATGAGTGCATAGTATCCCCAGGACCGGTTCTTCATACTCACTGGAAGGTTTTTCCTCGTATGTTTTGGGGGGCACTTTTTCAGGAGTTTCTGTGGTTACAAAAAAAGACATATACTGCATGCTGACATCTCATGTGCCCAATCTACTATTTAACATATTTTACTCACGATCTGTGTGATATTCCACATATTCATACTGGCTTTCTGTAGTGTCTGATCCCTCTGTGATAGCATGGTAGTGAGAAAAAAAAGATGGTCTTTTTTTTTTTGTCAAAGTCTAAATTTGAAAACTCACGTGATGTGTTATCTTCATCCAATGCTGGAAATTCGTATGCATTTCCGAAACCCTCTGAAGCCAATAAAAGTAATGTTTTCAAGGTTTAATTCTAGTACTGGATTTTTAAATTATAGCTATGTTTATATAACTCACCTGATGGTCTTTCCACGTATTCATACTCGCTGTACGTGGGATCTTCAGTGTCATCTGAGTTATAAAATTGTAGAATCAGGTAAAGAGAGTGAGGGGCACATAATTGTAATGAAAAAAAGTTTTCTATATGGGATAAATCCTTCCATATTTTATCAATGGCATATTTATATAAAGCGGGTATCTCCAACCTGTAGCCCCACTTCAAATGTTATTATTTACATCCAGTCCCTATTTTGATTATAATTGTTTTCTTGAAATAGCTATTTTTCTGAACTACCAGCAGTAAATGGATAATGATTTCAACTATATATTCATGCAAATGTAAGGCTTGTCATCACACTTATAATAACAGTGTAACAGCTGAAAGGAGAAGCTCTTCAAAACTAAAATAAGGAGTATTTTAAAGCTGGAGAACCTAACTTTCAAAAGTAATCCATGTAACTTGTTCCTCGCTCCGAAAACAGTTTGGTTCTATCGCTAGTTTTTACATGCATATACTTTTGGGCCTTTGTCACATCTTTAGATCAGCTTTTTCAGACAGGAAAGGGAAAAATGAGAAGACTATTTTCACTTGGCAAATCAGCTCTCCGACCAACCCTTTCTTATGAGTATGAAAAAAGTAAAATGTTTTCCAACAGCATGATGTGGTTTGATTTGCTTCCAAAATTGAACATTTTACATTATATAAGACTTTTTCTGTTGAGAAAAACAAAGGACATTATTGGTTGTCCAAAAAAGTTAGACCCCTGCTTTAAGTATGTTTGTATTGTGGCATTATTGTCCCCACAAAGCATAGGAACGACATTTGTTTATTTTTTATTGACTTAATGTACACTGTACCTGGAATGTAATGTATTTTTTTCATCTACAATGTGCACAAAACATAATGAAAAAGCCCCTCACCTGCTGCATCCTCTGCATCCTCTGCATCCTCATACACTGGCTGTGTGGAGTAGTTATTGTGATTGTTAATATTCAGATTTGGCTTGAGCGGCTCTTTGACTGGCTTAACCATAGGCGTTGGTGGCTCTTTTGCAAACCCCTCATCATGGACGCTGTTTTCCCTGGTCAACTTTGGAGGCTTGGACCTGTGCTGAGACAATATAGCGTTCAATTCGTCCTTCACTGAATTCGTTTTACCCAAGGGTTTCCTCGCAGGCTTGGGCGCAGGGCTGGGGGGTGAAGGTGAGACATTATCGTACAGGTCGTCAGAGTTAAATTGTGGTTTTGCGACTACAGAAGGTTTCGCGACTACAGAAGGTTTCGCGACTACAGAAGGTTTTGTTGCGACTGGGGGTCTCGTCTTTCTGGGCTGTGGCTGTGGCCTCCCTGACTCCGATGCTTCTTCAGCTTGGCTTTCAAACGCCTGGATTCTGGCACGGAGATTGTTTGTAGCACTCATTTTGTCCACATCTTCTGTTTCAGCGCTCAAGTGATTGATAATGTAAGATTTTTCTGAATTAAAGACTTCTAATAGTTCTTGGAGGTACTTATTGGGTGTGGCACTGTTCAGGACAGGGTCTGAAGGGTCTGAATTGCCATTCAACTGCACCAAAGTTTGGGATTCCTCTTGTGGGATGAGAAGCCTTTTGGATTTAATACGTGGAAGAGGGACAGGACACTGAAGACAATTAGAAGCAGTATGAGGAGCAGAACTTGTCTTTAAATCATTCCAATGGACAGAAACAGATTGGGTGCAGTTGGTCGAGTTGGAATCAATATCTTGGATAATATGAGATGGTTCAAGAGTTAAAACCACATTGGTATGATCATCTGTCACAGTGGGCGTCTTTTTGTTCTTGCGAGCAGATGGTCTGGGTGGTTTGGGGGGCTTCAAACCTGCAGTGGTCATACAAGATATATGTATCAATAAGACACTTATACAGTGCCTTGCGAAAGTATTCGGCCCCCTTGAACCTTTCAACATTTTGCCACATTTCAGGCTTCAAACATAAAGTTATAAAATTTACATTTTTTGTCATGAATCAACAACAAGTGGGACACAATCGTGAAGTGGAACGAAATTTATTGAATAATTTAAACTTTTTTAACAAATAAAAAACTGAAAAGTGGGGCGTGCAATATTATTCGGCCCCTTTACTTTCAGTGCAGCAAACTCACTCCAGAAGTTCAGTGAGGATATTTGAATGATCCAATGTTGTCCTAAATGACTGATGATGATAAATAGAATGCTCCTGTGTGTAATCAAGTCTCCGTATAAATGCACCTGCTCTTTGATAGTCTCAGGGTTCTGTTTAAAGCGCAGAGAGAACCATGAAGACAAAGGAACACACCAGGCAGCTCCGAGATACTGTTGTGGAGAAGTTTAAAGCCAGATTTGGATACAAAAAGATTTCCCAAGCTTTAAACATCTCAAGGAGCACTGTGCAAGCTATTATGTTGAAATGGAAGGAGTATCAGACCACTGCAAATCTACCAAGACCCGGCCGTCCCTCCAAACTTTCATCTCAAACAAGGAGAAGACTGATTAGAGATGTAGCCAAGAGGCCCATGATCGCTCTAGATGAACTGCAGATAACTACAGCTGAGTTAGGGATGGTGTGTTCAGGGTGATGAGCTGTGTTGCTTTTATGCCAAACATATCGTTTTGCATTGTGGCCAAAAAGTTTGATTTTGGTTTCATCTGACCAGAGCACCCCAGGTGGCTTGTGGCAAACTTTAAACGAGACTTTTTATGGATATCTTTGAGAAATGGCTTTCTTCTTGCCACTCTTCCATAAAGGCCAGATTTGTGCAGTGCACGACTGATTGTTGTCCTATGGACAGACTCTCCCACCTCAGTTGTAGTTATCTGCAGTTCATCCAGAGTGATCATGGGCCTCTTGGCTGCATCTCTGAACAGTCTTCTCCTTGTTTGAGATGAAAGTTTGGAGGGACGGCCGGGTCTTGGTAGATTTGCAGTGGTCTGATACTCCTTCCATTTCATTATAATTGCTTGCACAGTGCTCCTTGAGTTGTTTAAAGCTTGGGAAATCTTTTTGTATCCAAATCCGGCTTTAAACTTCTCCACAACAGTATCTCGGACCTGCCTGGTGTGTTCCTTTGTCTTCATGGTTCTCTCTGCGCTTTAAACAGAACCCTGAGACTATCAAAGAGCAGGTGCATTTATACGGAGACTTGATTACACGCAGGTGCATTCTATTTATCATCATCAGTCATTTAGGACAACATTGGATCATTCAAAGATCCTCACTTAACTTCTGGAGTGAGTTTGCTGCACTGAAAGTAAAGGGGCCGAATAATATTGCACGCCCCACTTTTCAGTTTTTTATTTGTTAAAAAAGTTTAAATTATCCAATAAATTTCGTTCCACTTCATGATTGTGTCCCACTTGTTGTTGATTCATGACAAAAAATTAAATTTTTATATCTTTATGTTTGAAGCCTGAAATGTGGCAAAATGTTGAAAGGTTGAAGGGGGCCGATTACTTTCGCAAGGCACTGTATATAAGAAATATATTCACACAAATGAGTTAGACATGACAAATTATTACAATTTGTTTATAAATATAAAACAAACTGCTATCTATGAACCACTATTCTGACAGATACTTATTATATCTGCCTTTAACTGTTTCTGCTTTCTGGATATTTCAGCTACACAGTAGTTACCAACATTATTTTTGCTCTGGGTCCTTTTAACCCTGGTTGGGAAATATGGATTTCCTCTCAATAAAAAGAGTTGTATATGGTTTAAACATTATATTGTTTGTATGGTTTCATTTCCCCAAACTATTTTCCATATGGATCAAATAGTGTCCATTTTTCTTGTATGTAGTTAATTCATGTAGTTTTCTGTCAATATTTGATTGTAAATAAAACAAAAATATTTGCATTTAATAATAGCTCACCAGAACTTTTGGGAGTTGTAGTAGTGGTAGTAGTAGCTGTACCGTTAAGGTGACGAGGCGGGGCTACAGGTTTAATATGGGCTTCCTGGGTCCTCTCTGTTGGGACCTGATCACAGACAGTAAAAATCAGACACAAAGAAGTGCAGAATGTAATGAGCTGAATCATTTGGCAATTGTGGCCAATAAAATTGCAAATTTCATTTGATTGTGATGACTCTTGCAGCCCCAATGTTATGCAAAGGGTTTCACATGCTGGGCAATATACATAACACTAGGAAGCAGAGATCGGCCCACCTGCTGAGGAGGGGTGTGCAGGGCAGAGGAGACCAGTGGACTTCCTGGACTCCAGCTTCTGCTGTCCAGAGGTTCTGCTGAAACTACTGTGATCTCTGGACGCCTAAATACACAAAATATATAAATGTGAGAGGACACTGGAATGCTGGCAAAATTATATACTGGTCGCAAAACGTTTTGTACAAATGAAACGCTTTGTTTTAGAAGGCTTATTATCTATTATCTATGTAAAAGTTTAGAAAAAGTTTTTTTTTGCACTCTTGTGAGAAAGGGCTTTGTGCGTTAGTATTTGACCCTTTGATTGAGTGGTTCTCCCATTATAACTTTGCAGTCTGAAAAAGTTCTATAGAATACGTTTATTTAACCAGGAAAGTCTAACTGACATTTCAGAATCTATTTCCATGGAGTCGGGTGGAGGGAAATACGGAGCTCTTGGAGGATACCAAAGACACAAGGAGAACGTGCAAAAATCGACTCAGAAAGTATTTGAACCCAGCACCTTCTGTCTGAGAAGTGAGCGTGCCACCACTTGCACATGCATGGGGAAACTAGTGATAATACCAAACTAACACAAAAATAAGGACTGTAAACATTGCACATTGTATTAGCCTTCTGTGGTTTGAAAGTCAGGTTGCCCAGCTTTAATTGTGAACAAATACATGAAAAGTCACAATTACCTTCTACAATATCCCTTCCTATGATCACTCTGAGAACTTGGTTTTGCTAGAAAAAATAAAACAAATTATTTATATAAAACTGAAAAATATGTTTAATTTAGAGCAGTGTTCCCCAACCTTTTTAAGGCGTGGCACACCATTTTTAATATCACGGCACACCACTAGCTAAAAATGACGCAAAAATAAAACACTGCAGCCTTTAATAAAGCAAAGCAATTCTTATCAAAGTGTATTAAATAGAAAATCAAACCAGCGCAAAAAATATTTTCACAGTATTTTCTTCACATTATTTGGACCAATTAGAAAGATAATGGATTATTTCCAAAGGCACACAAACATGCCACGCCACACTGGTTGAAAAGCACTGCTTTCGAGCATGAATAAAGGTCTAACAAAGGTCTAACAAAGGTCTAACAAAGGTCTAACAAAGGTCTAACTAAACTTACAGCGTTTTATTGCAGCTTTTATAGATGACAGTGGACCTGGACTGTGCAAAAGAGGACAGCAATAGATAGAGAAAACAATTAGGGCATAAAGAAATTATACTTATATACATATTATATCATATAAATAATAAATATATATATATATATATATATATATATATATTATTAATCCATTATCAATAAAGTACTTAAACAAACCTAATTCATGATAAATAAAGCTACATTTATGCAATAATTGTAACGCTCAAATCAACATGTATTGTGCCTGCAAGATATATACAGAGATTCTCAGTCTTTGTGTCGACTCCACCACAGATAAATTGATTCTCCTGTCACTGAGCTGATTTACCAACAATTTTCTATCACAATTACATACCTGAGTTTTATGTGATCCGAGCCGTTTTTATTAGAAGGATCTGAAAAAGAGAAAATTGCATAAGAGGCAAGGAATTTTAATTTTGGCTACGGAAAAGTGAACAACAGAATACATTTACCAATAGAATTCAGTGGTATCTGAACATTATGGGTATAGCTTAATTTTTTAATGTTGATAATAATTTTAAAATGTAAAATTAAATTACATTTGGTAAACCAAAATTGTTGAACATATATTCAATTGCACTTAAAATGTAAACAAACAGAGAAAACTAATGTCAAAAGTACATGCCACTGTAGGTCACTGTAATTCTTTTTCCTCACAGACTTAAATATTTGACTTTCAAACACTGCAGATTATGTGTTACATTTATTTTCCTGACATTATACAAGTCAAGTGTATACATATTTTGCCTACAACTGTGTGAAAGCACTCCAGTAACTAAATGAATATGAATATGAATGGATATTTATTTATTATTGTGTCTTGCATATAACTGTATGCCCAGCCCTTTCATGGGCTTATAAGACACCAATATAAAGAACAGGATCAGATGACTGACAGGATACAAAATAAACTTATTTGAATAAACAGGATTGTCGGCGCTTCCAGGGAAACATTTTAGCTTATCATCCTCACTGCTCCAAAACAATTCAGGCTTTTTAAAAAACAGAGAAAAGACTATACAACATAAAATGTAACTATTGTAAACAGGTAAAACCAGAACCAGTAAAACCAGCTGCTGTTCTAAAGTAAGTGATGCATAGTGACGTAGTAGTTTTGTCGCTCAATCTAATCCCATAGTGTCGAATACCATAAAAAAACATGTTAGCCGTGATACCTTTCATTCCCCCAGTGGTTTTATTGCTTGTAACAAACATATATAGTGCCCAGTATTGTCTGATCAGATCGACAACGATCAGAATTGTAACCCATTACGGTCAACAGAAGGCCTATATCATGAGACTTTTAGGGCTACTCTCTTGTAAAAAATCTAGTTTTTTAAAGAGTAGGCTACTTCAAACTAAAATTGACATCGCAAGAACGTGTGGCAAAATCCGAATATTTCCTTAATATCTACTTCCTTGTGCTATTTAAAAAAAAAAAAAACTTATTCAAGAGAGCTCAGGTTCAGTCAAGTGGAATTTTAATACTTTCTTAGATGGTTTTAATGCCACTTTATTCAAATATTACGCCACAAAGTGAATGAAAATAGGACAGAAGGACAAGGAGCTATTTGAAAGGAAGCCTCTTCTCTGAACTCGGGTGCAGCCATCACTTGTTACACCTGTTACTTGTTAGCCACATTAGCACGCGCAGCTAGAAACCATAGAAACCAGTGCTCCTTCATTTGCCCTTTTAACACCTGTTATTTCAAGACATTAGCGGTAAGTGAAGTTTCATTTCTGCCATTTAGAACACTGCATTATGTCTCCCACCTGTGACGTTAGTTCCTGGGGTAACTTGAGCAAAACAGCGCCAGGTTTGTAATTCCAATGTCCTTTGCTTTTCTCCTTTTCTGTTTCGTGTAAGTGGCACATCAACACAAGGAGGAGGAGAGTGGGTGGTGCCTGTTATCCCTGTGTTTACCTGCGTGACCAGTCTGCTGAGCTGGAATGTGACCATGCAGGAAGTTCTCGGTGCCATCAAAGGTGAAGTACAGTTATCATAATATACAACGCAAATCTTGTCGTTTTTTTTGTCCTGTTCACTGTTTTTGTTGGCCTTATTAAAGCTGGGTACCCAACTGCATACACGTGGTTTGTCCCAGAGACTTGTGAAAGTAAAATGAACAATTCACACCTCTACATGTTGTCTTCAACTCATTAGAAAACGTGTTATTTGTGCATACTTGTGGGTTGCTATTTGGCACTTTTGGAGGAGAGATCTCTTTTTGCTGTGGCCACGGGTGTTTTAGGTTTAGTAAAAAACATTGATACAGTCTTAGACACAAGCATGACTCATTCAGCCACTTTAGTATATCATTTATGGCTAACAATAGCTGATAGGCTACATCATCAGCACTTTTGGCTTGTGTAAAAATTACTGTAAAGTCGGCATACTTAATCTTGTCCACATTTTTGCATTTACATTAAGGGAAAATTGGAGGGGACCCAAAATTGATCCCTGAGGGACACCATAGTGAAGATAGGGTGATTCACTATTCTTTAATTGCACGCTTCGTTTTCCATCCATCCATCCATTTTCTACCCTTTAATCCATTTCTGGGTCAGGGGGGTGGCAATCAGAGATGCCACCCAAGTCTCATAGCACCAGCCCCTCACTGACCCTCTGCAGGTGGTGAGTCCACAGGAGGACGGCTGCTCTCTGAGTGTGAGCATAGCCTTGATCTTTCAGTGGGGGCTTTGGGCAAAGTGGGGTTAAGTGTCTTGCCCAAGGACACAACGACAGCAGTCATCAGTGGGAGTCGGTGGAGAAGGTGGGAATTGAACGACCACAACCTTCAGGCCTGAAGGCCAATGCTCTACCAACTGAGCTACTGTCGCCCCACTGTCGCCCCACCCCAGACAGAAAACGCTTTGTTTTCTGTCTGATAAATAAGATAAATACATTTTATCCATTTTATGGTTTGATTGCTAAAGTTAAATGCTGACAATCTAGACAAAAGCTTAAGGTGATTTTTCTCCGTATCAAAGGCACACTTAAGGTAAATATAAACATCCGCAACATTACTGTTTTTGTCTGACTTCACCTTCTCAACAAAAACACAGACAGCCGTTTCAGTTGAGTGAAGAGATCGAAATCCGAATTATAGGGTGCAGACTCGGATTGGAATCATTAAGATACATACATAGGGAAAGGTTTGTCATTTGAAAGATAATGTTTTTTTAAAACTTGCTACCGTTTGCAAAGAAAAATTGGGAAAATATGTTGACCTCCTTTGTTCCAAACCGAGGACGCCACGGGAGAGAGATTCTGAATCTGTGTTTTAGTTTACAAGGGATCTCTTTAATCACAATGTTCTACTAAATAAACGTGTACTATTTTCATGTATTTAGTAAAGTCCTAATCATTTGATTTGATTGACCAAACAAAAACAAAAAAAATATATAATAAAATTAATATTGGTGTACTTTTGAGGATTTTTGGTCCAATATTCAAGATCGTTGCTGATGGGTTATTCATTTCAAGCAGGAAGTGAAATAAAATAAACATAAAAAAGCAATTATATTTGAAACATTTTGGTAAAATCTAATCATGTCACCAGTATGTTATTAAAAATGTAGTCCAACCTGTCCTAATGTGATTTCATTAACAGATTTGTCTTGGCATTTTCTTTCCTGTTCTATTTGTATTATTGATGTGTACGTATAGTTAAAGACTGCTTTCACTATAGCTTAAAAAAATAATAACAAAACAAAACAAAAAATAATGCATTTCCTGCATTTATGGACGTATCCCACCCCCTAGTTATAATTACACTCTACTATGCAATTAATTGACCTGGATCACTACATCTAGTGGTACAAACGGTATCTAAGGTCTAAGGATACCAGCTCTGTGATAGTACATAGAACATTTAATAGTTTAATCTCAACAAGAATTTAAACATCACTACAGGATTATGTGCAAATGACTAAGCCTGTTTAAATAATGTCAATACACACGTTCCACTTAATTGAGAGTACATAGGACTTTTATAATTGTTTGAACAGCGAGAGCTCCCTTTGGGTTGTGGCAGAGGCACAACTGACATGTGCTGAGGTCAGCTGTTTGCCTCTCTGACACATGTGGGCATTACTCAGCAGCAGCAGGTGGACAACAACTACCTCTACCAAAACAGTCTGCACAAAGAGCCATTCCATTAGGGCTGTAGGGAGGGATCTGTTTCAGCTCTAGTCATATTCATATTTCAACTCTTGGTTTGGGCCTTTTTATCTATTTTCTTTTTTTTATTATCTCAAATGACAAAACAACTGCAATGTAGAATTGAAGGGAAATGGCTGTAGGGGGTTCGGGTGCGAGGAAAGGTGGAAGTCCCATATTAATGTTAGGAGTTGCAAAGAAAACATGTGAAGCCGTAAAAAAAAAGATGATAATTCTGACTTCCAACTATTTGTTTAACTTAAAACTATATTAGTGAATCAAAATTAACATATCCTCAACAGCTGCACTCTATTGGTCTATTTTCCATACCCACACTGTTTGAAAGATATTAGGTTTAAATTGTAAGTAGGAATATAAATAAATGTTGAATAGACAATATTTTTTGTACATGTTCATCAACTTCCAAACTTTCAGTGTAGCATGCAGCAATTTAGTTTATGGTATTTATATGTATTAATTGATTTATGATATTTGGTATGACCTGCAATCTTTGTTTGTTTGTTAAAAAGTTAAAGCAGTGGGTTGAGATAGGGGAAAGGCAAAAATAGAGATTTTATTAACACAGGAATCACTGATAATACTTCAGTAGTGTCTTTATGATACATTTGGTTAAGTTGTATGCAGGGCTACTCAATATTTTTTTATAATAAGTTCAAATAAAATCAAGGTCCAGGTGAATTCTTACCAGTGATCCGGATGTCCCCAGCAGTTCCGCTTGTTCTGTTCCCTTTTGACATCATGTCCAAACAGCTCTCCAAAGCTCCCCTAAAAATCCATCAGTCACAGCAAGAGGTCCAGGCAAGTGCACGTCCCAGTTCTGTGCACTGTATCCTGAGTTGTGTGGTGTGTGAGGGGAGAGAGGGGAATGGCGGGGAGGGCCACTATCCAGCTCGATCTGGACCGTCAGCAGAACAACAGCTGAGTGACTGAGCACCATCGCACCACATGCTTGTCTCCAATGTAGCTGGAACTGCCATACTGTTACACATTCCAGCCAAAATAATAACATTTAGATGAACCCAGGGAAAAAATCAGACTCCTGCCCACCGAGGAAATTGAAGAATGCACCAAACAACATGCAAAACACAACTAACCCTTAACCACACTCTATGGTATATTAACCTTGTTTTACACTAATACGGGCCAGATCCAATTGCTTGGTGGGCCTGATTTGTGTTAAATTAAATAGACATTCTTTTTTATCTGCACTTGGCCGCTTGGCCTTCTCGACAAGAGTGCTGTTCCGACCGGTTCGAATACCAGTCGGTGTTTGATCTGAGTTCAGTTTTTGACGGTGAAGACCATGAGCTCCTCATGCAGAGACTAGAGGACTGGGTTGGTGTAGCTGGCACCGGCCTAAATTGGTTTAGGTCGGTTTACCTTGAAGACACAAAGTACTTTGGGGCGATTGGAAACTTTTTTCTCAGATCATATGGCCGGGTCAGAATTAAACATGTGGAGCCTGGAACAGTCTTCCTGAAAATGTGAGACAGGCTTCTTCTCTGACAATGTTTAAATCCAGGCTACAAACAGTTCTTTTTAGCTAATGATGACATGAGATAACAAACAACAGCAATTACAACCCAGATACATAACCTTTGGTGGTGTCACAGTACATCCAGCAGATGGCACCAAAAGTTTGTTCTTTTCTTTAACACAACCATGCTCAGCACAACACATTTTGCCAAGAACATTTGAGCATATTACATCACAGATCGGGCTATTGCCATCGCGTTAATTTTGCCTTGTATAACTCTCGAACAATACTAGATCCATGATCCACCACCAAGCATGGATCTATACCATCATGCACACGCACACTACATCCATAACACACACACACCCTAGTCCAGGCCAGGGGGAGGAGCTGTACATGGGATCAGAGCGCGTTCACGTCCCTGCGCCACGGAGCAGGTTAGCCGCTGGGACGTGTTCACTAACTTATTACTAAACTGGGACAACTTACTGAAATACCTCCTCCCCGGAGCCCGTACACGGATTTACACTGTTGTTGGGTGGAGATCATTGGGACGGGCCGTGACACCGCTGTGCACTTCTGGATCTCATTGTTTAGGTCGAGGTAAGCTGGCACAACTATGAAAACTCAACGTAACTCTTCTGTTTGTAATATTAATTTGTAAATCCTGAGTAACTGGTAAGCCCTGTATGTATTGTCTATGTAGCGCATGTGTTGCGCTGTTGTTGTGACATCGCTGATTGACATGTGCGAGTGGAGTATTGGGTGGTCTCCTCGCTGTCATGAGGGACGTACTATACGTTTATTGCGCGGTCATTAGCTCAACAAGGGCTATAAAAGAACGTGCGAAAGTTACATCGGACTGTGACTTGAGAGACGTGTGCGCGTCTTTGCTGCTTTGGCGCTTACAGCAACAGCTCTACCCACTCTTTATTGTATCATAGCACTCAAATATGTCCAGGGTACTGAGCAAAACTGCACTGTCCCCAGCTCACCTCTGGTTTCCAGTTATTGTTATGTTTTTATATGGGTTAGGGGTTTTTGTTTTTTTTTACGGTAAATTGAAAATGTATAAGTGAACACTGACACAGAAGTTTGCTATGAATATTAATAATACCATTCTGGTACACAAAGGAACAAATGAGCTTAAAGAAAGGAAACACTACCTACCAGAGTTACAGGTCATATCTGAGATCCAGTAGACATGATACTTGGTGAATACATTAACAAAAAGACGGTTGTGTTTGCTTGCTGAGGAATATTCCAAACAGAGCAATACTATTTATAATGAGACACTTGGGCGGCAAAACCCTGAACTAGAAATATCATACAGTGCCATCCAAATCAAACAGAAATATGTTCTTATTCTTATAAGGAAAATGGTAATGCATCGACACTATCCAATACAACCCAATTAACCAGGTTTAATACTTTAATACCATGCCCTTATTGGCTCAACATATGATCCTCAGGCTTTTTAGAGGATTAATATCTGACCTGATTTCCATAATCTAGGGCCGACCAGCCTGTGAACTCCTGTACCCCCAGAGGAGCAGGTGTAACGTTACCAACAAACAGCATCAAAGTTTCATGAAGTCTCTTGGTGTCATTCCTGCACAGGTGCCCTCTTTCAGCCCTGCACAATCAATGCTTACACAGTTGTTAGGTGTGGTTTGCATACAGAGAATACAGATCAGCACAGACCATCATTTAGGGACCAGAGGAAATCCCTATTCTTCAAAGAGAATGGTCTTTCAAAGGGTGTGTGTATGTGTGTTTCCTTTAACTTTTGTAGAACATTACCAAATTACAAACACTTAGTTATTTTTGAATAAAAAAAAAGTCTCCCATTCTATATTCTGTAATGTGCACCATATTTTGAAAAATGCAGTTTTCCTCCATGAGGCACATGGAGAAATCTACTCTGATGGAAAAGTTTATTTTGGAAATGCTTCCTCCATCTTTGGTCTATGTGTGACTGAAGTGGCTGCTGTGGTCACTGCACCAGTCCTCAAACTGTCCCTCAAATGCATACAGTTTAAACGTTGGAACTATTACCAGTCACTTCTGCAACGTTGGCATTGTATTGAGCTACCTAGCCTGGCCTTAGCCATAACTCCTGTCAATTATCATTTCCCTACATGTACCCTTAACACATCCCTTGGTACGAAATGAAATGAATACGATGGTATGGTACGAGTGTATACTTCTTTGCACTAGAGTATTCAGGTTTATACTTATAAATCACTATAATTTAACATCCAGACATAGTAGACAATGGTCCAGTAATTTTATTTAATATTTATATTTAATAGCCTGAAATGATCAGATGTTCAATGTATTAGTGAAATATATCACAGAATTCTTGCCACTCTTGCGGCTTGAGCCTTCATGCCAAAGAGTGCCACTTAATGCTTTATGCTTTCCTGGAATGAAAAGAATGTATGTAGCTTATGGGTCACATTGGCGTGTCTGGTGTTCAACTTTACCCTCTACGTAAAGGTCTGAAAATTGCGCTGAGGAAGAATTTTTACAACGCATGTCTGTGAAAAATGCTTGTCTTAATGTTATTTCACGAATGCATCAAGTCACAAGTTTCTCGTTTGTCTGCCTGGTATGTGCTTTCCTGTCTAAAAGTTCTAAAATGTATTCTAACAAAGTTGCATACAATAAAGGCAAGAGAAGAAAAGGGTTTAAAAGGGCTTCTATAGATTCTGTATCTTACACTCAAACCACAAAAAAGTTTCTCGTTCCAACTTCCTCACTCTCAAAACAGTTCTATCACTAGATTTCACATGCATATATTTTTGTGAGTGGACCACTCTCACTCAGCCAACCGGCTCTCTGCCCAAAACATCAAATAGTGACTCAAAGGACTAGACAAAAGGTACTGTGCGTTCTTGTAAGATGAAAACGGCATGTTGTGGTCGGATTTATTCACAAACATCTTTTACATTTTACTTTACCTAGACTCTCGAGGGACATACAACATATATTATGAAACATAAAAATCCTTGCTTTAAGTGGTTGTCAAATTGTGTAAAAATTAGAGCTGCAACTAACGATTATTTTGTAATCGATTTAATCTATCGATTATTTTTACGATTAATCGAGTAATCGCTTGGCTGTGAATTGTGTAGAAAAAAAATATTTTTTCATCACAAAAAGCTAAAGTGGCAACACTCGAGGACGTATTGATGGCGTAAACTTAAAGTAAATGTTTGTAACAGGCTCTTTGTGCTAATTCTGCTATCTGATTGGATGAGACAGACAGATATTCATGAAATTATAAAAACAAAGTCTGTTTTAATCAAAAATACTACATTTTCATGTCATTTTTGCTCTGTTTGAGTCCGTGTGAACCAGAAAACGATTAATCGATTACTAAAATAGTTGTTGACTATTTCAATAATCGATTAGTCGTCGATTAATCGATTAGTTGTTTCAGCCCTAGTAAAAATATACATTTACACAAACTATTTTAGCTTTTGTTTGGTGAATGTGTAACAGGTGCTTTCAAAATGGCAGCGTGAGATTTTGCATGATTTTCTCTCTGCTGAGCTGTCTTGTGATCAGGATTACCTCCCGTCCTCAGACTGACCCCCAACATGATAACACACTTATGCACAATAATGGTGTACTACATTCACGATTAAACCACCTCCCAAAGTACTAAATGTCTTGTTTGAGGTATCGGATTGAAATGGAGAATGAGGATTGTAGATAAATCAGAATAGACTAGAATACATTTGGCCGTTTACACTTTCCCAATACTAACTTGTGAAATGGTTGGCTCTTTACTAATTTGTAATCTATCTCCACTCATTTTAAGTTAGACTCAAGAGACTTTTACATCTTCAAACCTCATCCATATAATATAACTATCTGTAATCTGGCTGTTCAGTAGTAGATATAGAGTAACTTGTGAGGAAGTGGCATCTGCAGAGATGGGACACAGAGAGTTTACCTCATTCTTATCTCTGACAGACAACTATTGTATAAAGTTATGTCATTGACCCACACTGTACAGCTGCACAGTCTAGAAAACAGCCTGGGAGCGACAGTGAGGTCATGTTGTCTGTGATAAGTGTTTAAAAATGACAGGACCGTGTAACGGTATTCTCAATGTGATGTGTTTTGATCATTGGCAATATTTTATGGATGCAGTGGATGATTGATAATGCAAACTATTTATACAGCTCTTTTCATCATGACTCTCAGAAGCTTTACATGACATTAGTCATTTAACTTCTATTGTAGCCACAGCTGCTCTGTGGCAAGTTAACCAAAATGTACCCCTCTAACCACCACAAATTCATACACACTGCAGACTAGACAGTGGTGTGAAGTATCTTGTCTAAGAACATTTTTCGACTTTGTAACAAGTTAATTGATTAATTGCAACTACTGTAATCAATGGTTGAATTAGTTGCCTAATTTAGTAATGGATTAAATCTGTTGAACCATCACTGGACCAAAACAGTTTCATGTCAGGGCTCTATGAGGATGTTTTTGAGTGGCATTGCTTTAGCTTTATTTTATTGTCAAATGTATGAAAAGTCATAGACCACTTTGATAACTATACAAGAGGTTATTTGGTTGACGACCAAATCTGCTGTTGTTGTGTCCTTGGGCAAGACACTTAACCCAGAGATTTAGTGATGGTAAAATGGATGAATGGATGGAGTAAAGGTTTTTTTGGTTCTTTTAAAAGACTAAAGAATAGTTTGACTCAAGGCAAAATTTACCTTTTGAATGAAAAGACAAATTGCAGAACTAATCAATGATCACAATTATGGTTAATTACAGCCCTAATTCACACCATGAAAGTTAAATAGAGTTGCACCATGTTTAGGAATTCATGTTTACGTCTTATCATTTTGCAGTTGTTTACTAAACCCTTTTCTTCATAAGCTGACTGCTTTGAAGTCAGCGAAAGGCACAACCTCTGAATGCTGCTTTGTTTGTTCTGTTTTCCTATGCCTGGTTATTGTAGAAAACATTATGGATAATGGACCACTGTAGAGGTTGCCTTTCAACCACTACAATATATTACAGAGATTAAACATTTCTGATCCATTAGTATTGTCACAAGTCTGGTAGGATGAAGGAGAAACCAGTTTGGAGTAGAACATAAGAGCCTGCACACACCCTGGTACTTATCCTTCATGGGACAGTCAGGGAAAGTCTGCTCTGCAAACATGCAAAGCGCAGAAACATGATCCGCTTATATAATAGGATAGTTGGCACCATTTTTGAGGCAGTGTGGCTGTGGATCGGGAATTACATACACCGGTGATAATGACTAATTGGTAATTTCAAAGAAGATACAATTGTATGATTGATGTATGATTAAAGAAGGTGCACTGTGTAACTTTTCTCCCCATATTCCATGTTACAATTCTTTTTGAGAAGAAAGGCACTCTATATATAAATAGTACAATTTCACCATTAATCACAGCCTGCCCTTCTCTTGTCCATCCTCTGCTTGCGAGAAGACCTTTCATGTCTTCACTCGGAGGCTTGCTCCTAAATATTTAAGCAGCATAATCACTTCAAAGAGCCAGATTCAGTTACCAAAGCAACCACCTGACCATAATGCGATTCTGCTGAGTCTGCAACATCCTTAATGTGAAAGAGTAACAGTGGTCATTTTCCAGACACCCCGAACATAACATGACAGGCTACTATTGGTGTTATGAAGGTGAAACAATGTTCAGACTGGCTTGCCTTTAAAAAAAACATTTTATGGTTTTACACTTGTTCATTTGTAGATTTCTTCTTTTACACACAGTTCTGTGCATCGCAAACCACAGTATTGATCTAAAACAGCTCAACGTTAGTAAGAGGACAATTGATTTTCCTGTTCAAAACTGCAGAATTGATTGGCCTTACCTCCATTGATCTGCCAACCAATAAAGTATAAAACCTGATTGACAAGGTCCACATTGGATGGAACTGTTAATGAAAAATGGATTTAGGCCAATCTACCTACAATAATCCTCACCTTCATTTTACTTGTGGTTTTATTTCTTGGCTAGAAGTATTTTCTGATATCAAGAGTTATTTGTTTTTTCATTAATCGCCCCTTTGGCTCCTGTTTCAGTTCAAAGCTGATCCTTCTACATAGGTGTGACTTGTCTCAAAGCTGCTTGTCCAGACCACACCTGCTGGAAAGACTGAGAGAAAAACAAAACTAACAACTTTAGCCCCAGCAGTCTCCCTTGAGCCATCGGTTTTCAATAGACTTTGTACATCTCATTCTGTCACCATGTGTATGTACCTCAGGAGTGATGGGACCTTGGAGACTGCGAGAGATTCCTGCTGCTAAACACTGATTTTAGTTTATTAATAGGATTGTCTCTCTCAAGGCTTCTGTCTATGATACTAAAGTATAATTTAATATCATGAGCAAAAATACCACAGTATACTGTTTGTTAGAAAAGATTATTAGAAAAGAAAACTATTTCAAATATTGATACTTTTATGTCCTATACAAAGTAGCCAGATATTTTGGCTTCAACAGAGCAAAAAAAAGTGACTATATCAAAGGATGGAGGCACATGGACAGAAATACATGACACTATTGTATCTTTTTGAGTATTCGGTGCATGAAATAAAAATGCATTGTACTGTCAGTCTCCAGTGTTACTACTCTGGTAGTAGGAAAAATATATGAATGCACCGTAATGGAAATGATGGTAAGCTGTAACTTGCACGTTTTGTTTACATTAATTTTAAGTTTGTGTTTTGCTGTGCGTCATATTCCTCCTGTTTCCAAAGTTTATTTTAAGAATATGGAGCCGTGTCCACGTCAGTGAGAAATCAGCCCAATTTAGGTCACCAGCTCCACCATAGTGTACTGCTGCCGTCAATGTTGTGGTGTTGCTTTGCTATAGTATCCTTATTTTTTGAGTATGCAAGTTGTAACTAACTCCAGAAAATGGCTTGAATAATAGACTCCATAACTACTTATACAGACAATCTGCTGCCAAGTCATATAATTTATACTTTGGTTTACAATGTGTGTTTATAATCTTGAACTGTTAGGTTAGTTGATACAGCTTTAACTGGTATTCTTTTATTAGTTTATTCTCAATTAGCTACTCTTTTCAGTTAAGATGAGCAGTTTTTTTATGACTGATTATTTCTGTTTTTGTAATCTTCTATCCCAATTGAAAGGTGATAATTCTCCTAACCGCTCCTAAAATAGTCTAATCTTGGATCGCTCACAACCATGATGTTGTTCAAACAGACGGTGAGAAGCAGACAGATGGAGTGAGTGTGTGTGGGCGACTGAGAGGAGGAGTGATCTATTTGCAACTGTTTTGGGAAAATTAGCTACATACTGCAAAATTGATTCTAATTATGCCCTATCAACTTGTCATCCCATTGCAGTTTGTTTGGAGTTCCGCGATGGATCTCTGGCTGTGGTAGCACAATTATAAACCTAGCGTGGTTGTTTAATCATTCACTCATAAGTGCCTGCTACACAATCATATATATATCCTTCATGAATAGATGATGGCGGGCTGCACTAAAGCAGCTATTCGTCTTCATAAATTGAGATGGAGAACAAGTTAATCATTTCTTTTGAAGCTTTGAATGCTTTGGCACTACAGGTTTTCCTCTGACCCATTCCAAAGAGTGACACATATACAGAGAGGCTCATATTGCCTCTTGAACATGAATAATCTTTCAAAGTATGTTTTTTTCTGGACGTGGTCTAATATTTCACAATTGGTTTCCAAAACTATTTGTTATTGCGTTATTATCCTCATAGCACATGTTTGCAATTTAACAAGGAAAAGCAGTGATGTTTTAATATGTTCACCCCACACTTGTGTACTGTATGTGAGTATGAAAGAATGGAAGAACAATACAAGAGCCTTCAGATTCAAAATGTTTCACTTTGTTCATCACTGCAATACTTTTGAGACTTTGGCTTGTGTGTATTTGAAGCTGGCAGCTGAAGCGCCACAACAGCCCAGCAACGTGATGTGTATCAATTGCATTTGCACTAGATCCTACGATACCGCACTTCCGCCTCAAGTAGCCATGAAGTATGTTTAGTGACATTGGTCTGATGTGTTCCATTTCAATATACATACATTGGCACAATTTCTTAAAAATCAATGCCATTTGTAGTTCTTTCTAGGCTTAACTTAGGAAAACTTTGCAAGCCACAACAATATTACAATATTAATATCACTTTCGTAGAGTTGAAAGTGTAAATCACAATTTTAATGTCCACAAATGGCAAAGACTAAGATAAGATGCCGTGACAAAGACTCATATAGGCTTCATGTACATTTAATTAAAGGACTTGACTAAACTTTCTACTACTATAGTGTGCTTGTTCCTTTCCTGCTCTTTACTCTCTTAAAAAAAAGCTGCTAACCATATTCAAATATGATCTGAAATAGATGTTGTTTGTGCATTCCTGCTCCTTCAACTCTTTCAAATATTCCCTTTGAATCCAATTAAAACAGTTGTCGATTTTTTTTAATTGTTTTGCCAATATAGTCCAGTTCTTGAGAATGAGTGGAGCTGTCATTGTAACCCCACCCAATAACATCTCCTTCCAAGTTTTGAGCAGCTGACTCATGTCCTGTCATTTCCTAGCATGCCCTGCCTCCCGATTTCCATTGCTCAAATTTATTTTTTCTTCCCCAACAGGAGCAGTATGGCAGCCCCCTCTGCATGCAGCCATGTGCTGTGGCAAACATGATCGCTCTAAGGTAAAGATCTACAGTCATTTCTTGCATTTTCTTGTGCATTCCTGAGTGTAACTGAAAGCAGATGCTGGTTTTTGGGGGTTTGTGGGAACTTTTTAGGAGCACAGGGAAAGTGGTTTATTTGAATGGGGGAAGTGATTGGTTTGTGGGGTTAAACTAGGAAAAATAATTTTAAATGCCATGTACATCTTTTATGTTTCCCCAAATAACGGGTCAGCTTCTACAAATCATATTTGACCTTTTTAACAGTTTAAAGTTGAGTTATTCTTAATCAAAAATACCATAGGACATGATGTCCTTAACATTTTATGTTAACAATATTCAAGTGGATTTTCCTATTTCCTGAATGAGTCCCTCATTTGGGTTGCCATGTTTGAAATTTGGCCAAAAGCCATTTTACTTCCAATTCACACATTGTGTAAAGTTGAAGAAATTCTGAAACTAAGAAATCCAATTATGTACAAGACAAATACATTCCAATTATACAACTATGCAGGTCTAATGCTTGATGGAAAGAAGGCAGAATTGATTTGATCCAATACTCCCCCATCCATAATCAACTATTGACTTTTGGGGTTTGTGGGAATATTTTTTTCTTGCAATGTCTTTTTCTGAGAGAAAATGCCTTTTTCCAGTGAAAGTACAATGGTCACATTCCAAAGTTACTCCCCGCGTTCTAACACAACTCTAATACGTTCCACAACATGAACCCTTCCAAGTTAATATTTTAGTTTCCCCACACTTGGAACAGAAAATGTGATGCTCTGATTGCGGTGGACTAATGTTTTGAAAAAAAATGTTGGAGGACGGAGGAATTCATGTGGGTGCTTGAGGTATTTGGCACAATTATTTGACAGACCCTTGTCATGAGCACGGCAGTCCGGTCTCTAGCCCCAGTCAAGTCATCTGACTGTTATTGTTCTCTTCACGACATGCCTTTCATAGCTGCTGTGTGCTCATGCACATGGAGGCAGGCACAGGGACATACACTTTACTGTTTCATTAATATACTTATTCTTATGTTGTCCAATGTTAGTATTAGGGCTTCTCTATAAAGTCTGAAATTTATTATCTGTGACGAATAAAGGAATATCTTATCTTGTCTTCAAGAAAGTGAATGGTTTTGAGGTCAACAATTCTTTTCATTCTTTCCTATTTCTTTTGCTCATGCTGGACCAGTCAAGTTTGGCCGCTGTGGACTTCAGAAGGCACTTGTTTAAACGAATGGGGCTAGTGCTAGCTAATGCATGCGCAAATGCGTTTTTTCAAATGTTTCTGCCACACAGCCATTTTGAAAGAACCCCCACAAACGACAAAAGTGGAGGCGCGTTAGTTTCAACGACGGAGATAGGCGTGACTACGTCCGTTAATATTTACAGTCTATGGTTCCTAATGCTTTTAGTAATGGTATGCGTTATGTTTCCTGACAGGGTTCACGTGTGGTCCTGTGGTAATGGTGTGGCAAGAGTGAGAAGCGACCATCCCTCTGCTTATATCATGGTTTAAACACAAGCAATGGCCTCCATGGTCGCCAGTGGAACCCGAGATGGGCCGTCTGTGGTCCTACAGGGGGTGGACCCAGAGACGTGTATGATTGTGTTCAAGAACCACTGGGCCCAGGTAAACCACACAACACACAAAGAAAATGTTTGACCCACAGGGATGATAGAGTTTAAAGAATGAATAACATGCCTCTTAGTCATAGATTGCCATACAGTGGTAATCTATGACATTAAATAGAACAAACAATATAATAACAGACCACAAAGTGTAATGTTTCAGCTGCACTAAGCTGGGAAGTTTTTTTTTTTTCAGGCCATTGGGATGTGCTGCCTTACTTGATATCTTATTATATTGTTGTTGTTGCGTACATACAAAAATGTAACGTACGACTCGTGCCATGTAAAGTTTGTGATTTAGAAGAAGCACATTAAGAGAAAAAGCCACTCTTACTAATACTTTGAACTCCGCCTGCCTTGTTTGTGTGGTCAAGCCCAGGGGAATGTGGGCAGAGCCATTGACGAGATCCAAACCGTTGGCTCTGTGTGGCAGCTTGTGCGTCCTGTTCATCCCCCTGGGCACTGGCAGCCTGCTGGGTCCTGTCCCATACCAGGATGAGTAGGCTGTACTGACACAGGCTTTAGCTGAGCCCGCTGTGAGAAGGAGAGGAGCGTGTAAGTAAGTGTGCCCAGTGTCTCCATTAGAGGCTGACAGTGTGAGCACTTGTTGGAGAGTTCTGTTAAATGAAGCTTAAATATGGTTTTGTTAGTGCTGTGAGGCAATAACCTAGCATAGGAATAAATGGCTACTATTATTACATGTTTTAATGTGCATCACAAATAGAGAGATGACAGAAGGTCCACGGTTTTGTCTCTGTGGCTTTCCCTGGAATGTTAAAGAGTTCAACATATCCATCTTTTTTAAGCATTTATAATTATATTGGTGTCAAAAGGAAAAAAGTGGTCATAAACTGGAATTATTAAGACTTTTGTACATCAATATAGGCAAAGATGTTTAAGCTGGGTCACCTAACTATGCAAACTCAAAATAATGAACTATGTAAGTCATCTCACTAGCCCCTCTCTGTTCCCATGTGTGGAGTGAGAGGACAAATGCCCACAACCATTGCAAAGCACTTTGTGACTCTGGTCTGTGAAACGCGGTACATGACTAAAGATTACTTACTTAGTTTTCAAATGCAAAAATTGTTTTAAGTAAAAAAAGTGAATCAGTTCTCAGCCTTCAGTTAGTGATTCACTAGGTTCTTTCTTGCAAGTACTGTGCAGGCAAAATGAAGACTGCTTGTTGTGGTCTTATTTTCTTTTTTTTACATTTTACTTTTATAGCACTTGTTTGGGCAAAAATCATTACATTAAACAAAAAGACAATTTGGTTTTGGACAGTCGCACTGAGTTTGGGCCGTCGCACTGTGGAGTCTTATTTCTTCCATAGATAACCCGCTTGATAAAAGTCCACTTGACTTTGGTTTCAAGTCGGAAAACCCTGAAACAGGAGGACCCTTTTTGGTCAGTGGCATTGTTTTTATAAATTAGATTTATGCCCATGTTCTGTGTCTTTACTGCCACAGATTTACATTGTTCACACTGTGTATATTCGTACAAAGCAATCAGGCGTTCTGACTGTGATAAGCAAATGATTAGTGTCAAGTTACATGCTGCTTCTGGTAGTTATTAATCCAGGTCAATTATCCACATGATGATTTTGTTTTGTCAGATTAAACAGCAACCATAGCAGACATTACAATCATTGGATGGAGGGTCTAAGGATAAAGGAGGAGCAGATGCAATGTTTTTGGAACATTACATCTAGACTATTAATTTACTTTGTTTTTTTAATATGACTAAAGACAAAAGAAAGATCACTTGAATCTCCATGTATAAAACAAACAAATTTTGTCACATTTTCAAATCTATGTAGGTCCATGCATTTAAATAATCATCATTGTGATCAATATCGAGTGTTAGTGTGTGTGCCGGTGGCGGATCATCAAAGCTCCTCTCCTCATTAGCGACCACAGCTCTGTCATGCCCGGGCAGGGCGCCTGTGCTCTCCTGTGTTCCCCTGTGCGCGGGGCATCGTCATGGCAGCAGGGCCAGCCCGGGGACACTGGGGCTATTATCGTTACTTCAGTTTGTACATAACAGACTCCTCCAGCACAAAGGCCTGTTTGACTGCTGCTGGCAACGTGTGTTTGCTCAGAGCGCCCGCCTTTGTTTACACTATGCTCCAAGTGATGCTCAGGAAAAGTGGTTTTACCTGTTTTTTGAGGTGTAGTCTTGTAATTAGTTTACAGGTGAAACTCGGAAAATGAGAATATTGTAATCAATATCTGCCAACTTAAAATGCATGTCATATGTTATATAATATAAACCAATATATGACGTACAATTTTCATTTTATGAAATGTTTTTAAGTTTTTAACAAATAAAGGCTTTATAGCTCATGTTATGTATCTCAAGTCGTGTATTAATAGTTTCACATTTGAAGTCGAATTACAGCAGAAAATGGACCTTTTGAACAAAATTAAACATTTCAAAGTTTCCCCTGTACTACATATATTTACCATTGTGTTCATACATTAAGCAATATTCTTGGGTTTCCCCTACAATTAAAACCATGCACAAGAGTTCAAATCCTCCAGTTCCGGTAATGAACAAGTCGACGTGACTGCAGCCATAGTGGCATCAGGATGAGTCAAAAGCAGAGGACAAGTTACCCTACGATTATAATAAAGTGCACGTTTATTTACATCTAGGCAAAATAAATACTTGCCATTGAAAACTGATATAACCATTTGATAGTAAAATTGTGGTTTGAAAACAAGATACCTCAGCTTTAATCTCACCATTATTACGAGAAAGACTCGACGACTCTACTACCACACTATCTGTGCAAAGCTGAACCTCTGGTCTCTGCTCAGGTGGTGAAGATCCTGGAGAAGCACGACCCGCTACGCACCAGCGCCCTGAGCGTCCTGAACCTGGGCTCGTCCTCCTCCGGCTCCCCCCGCTTCGGCATCATCCCGGGGGACGAGGCCAGCGCCGTGCAGAACTACGTGGAGCACATGCTGTTCCTGCTGATCGAGGAGGACTGCGGTCAGGCCGGAGCCATGGGGCCCATCCTGGAGTTCGTCATCATGGAGAACGTCATGGAGCGCCTCTTCGTCTGGAGCCTGCGTCGCGAGTTCACGGACGACATGAAGTTGGAGCAGTTGAAGATGTACGAGATGCTGGTGGGGCAAGCGCGGCAGCCGTTACTCCACCACAAGCCCATCCTGCGCCCGCTCATGATGCTGCTGTCCTCGTGCTCGGGCGCCGCGGCCCCACAGGTGGAGGCCGAGCTGGTGCTGCTGCTGAACCAGTTGTGTTGCGTCCTGGCTAAAGACCCGTCTGTCCTGGAGTTGTTCTTTCACACCAGCGAGGATCAGGGCGCCACAAACTTCCTGATGTTCTCCCTGCTCATCCCGTACATTCACCGGGAGGGCACGGTGGGACAGCAGGCACGCGACGCACTCCTGCTCATCATGTCTCTGTCCGCGGAGAACCAGAGGGTGGCCAAGCACATCGCCGAGAATACCTTCTTCTGTCCGGTGAGTTGTTATCTTAGAAACTGAAAGTTGTTTTTATGCATCGCTCAATGATTATATTCTCTCAAACCCAACATGCCACATTTGTTTTTAATCAACCCATATAGACATATATAGACCCATATAAAGAGTCTGTGGTGCCAAGCATTATAAAAAACAACTAAAGCATGTATTATTTATATTTACATTGGACATATTGTACTGTAGATTCTCAAATTGCTATCAATAAATGCTGAAGACAAAAACGCCAAGTTTAAACACATTCTCAAAAGCTGAGAATGTGTTTAAACTTGAGGTGAATTCATGCATGTCGTTAATATTATAAATTCAAAATGGAAAATGCTTGCACACCAGCCAGACAATGAGTGCATGAGCTCACAATACTAATGTATCCGGGGAGCCCTAATGGAAACCACAGCATTACGTCATCACAAATCAGGTGAAAACGATCTTTAATGGTCCATAAAAGCTAGCAGAAACAGACTCTGTCCTTGTCTGTTTTTTAACCTCATCACTTTTCATATTCAGACTGAATATTTTCCTGAATAATTCTGACTTAAATCCAAATCCTATTAGAAACGGGGAATCATCCCCATCGTTTGATCCAAATCCTTGCTAAAGCTTTCATAAGATCATGACTAATTATACATAATCCTACATAAAACAGACATAATTTACCATTATCCTTCTGTGGAAGTGGCATAATACACACAACTTTGTGTTGATGCCAATAAGCCTACACAAGTTTTAGTTTAATTGGTTTCACTTGCTGCCCCACACTTAATCCTATAGGTGCTGTTTGCTCACAATGTTTAAAGAAGCTCATAATGTAATGATATAGACTCATATATTATAGATGTGAGGTTATTATAGCAGTCTGGATTAGTCCTGTGGTTCATCTATTACTATATTTCATAAATACAAGTTTTCTGTCCCAACATCCAACCAACCAAAAGAGTCTTAAGTTAATGTGTACATATTTATTGGACCACAACAAAATGTTTTCATCTTTTGTTTTTAGAAATGATCTTCTGCATGCTTGTTTGTCACTATTTGACTCAGGGTTGTCCTTTTCATCACTTGTCAGTCTGATAAAGCTGATCTAAAAATGTGACTGATACCAAGAGTACATGCATGTGTTTTGAGAGCTAGAAATGATTTGAATAGATTTTATTACAAAGGTCTTGAGATTTACAGACAGGCACACACACACACACACACGACATTTTTATGCTACAATAAGATGGTGTGTATATGTGTGAAGCTCAATGCATAAATACCAAACCATTCAGTTGATTTAAGACTTTAATAATTTTTTAAAACTGTTTTTTTTTTTTTTTATCAGTGTTGACACAAGCCTTTAAAAGTAACTACGATGCTGTACATCTTGTTCCTCCAGGTGCTGGCCACAGGTCTGAGTGGTTTGTACTCATCGCTGCCCACCAAACTGGAGGTGCCCAGTGAGGAGTGGCACTGCCTGCACAGGGAGGACTGGCTCCAGATGCCCGCTCTGGTCCAGTTCCTCAACTCTCTGGAATTCTGCAACGCCGTCATCCAGGTCAAACATTTGGTTACATATTTAAAGCTTATGCTTTTTAGTTTGTGAATTTCAGCATGTGTGGAAAAAGAGCCAAAGAAGACAGATGATTTTGTTTTCCCATTTTTCTTTGCATGTTTGTTAACAAGCCATGCAGAAAAAAAAAAACTCGTTGTGAAATGCACGAAGACTAAAAAGGGCTGCCTTGAGCACATTTTACATGCACAATATTTTACCTATATATAATAATCTTGTCATAAACAATAATATTGAAATTACTTCATGCCACTGACAATAGGGTTAGTTACTACAGCACAGGTGGAACTCTGTTATTTTTGCTCTTTTCTGCTCTGTATGCATTTCAGTGTTATATATTATAAAGCAAGTACCAGCATTGTATTTATTTTACAACTTCAATACCATATACTGTAATATTGTATTGGATCTTCAAATTTGATTACGTTTATTAACCAGAGTAAATATGAACACAAATAATACATGATAATTGCTCTCTAACAGATTGCTTGTACTCTTACATAGCGTTACCATGTGGTGTTGGCTCTGTCTGAGTGACGTGTGGCCTGATGGTGCTTTTCCCAGGTGGCCCATGCGGATATCAGAGACCAGCTCGTCAGCTACATCTATAACGGCTTCCTCGTGCCTGTCCTCGCACCAGCACTGCACAAGGTCAGGCATACTGCTGTTTCTGCTACTACTAGAATGACCACGTATACTGTCAGGAGTGTAGGACAGGAGCCTCTTGGCATTTGATTGTGTTGGTTTGATAGTGTTTTGACCTTGCTGTTCACTAGGAGCTATCTGACAAGTAGGTACTCTGTTTAGTGCCTTGTTTTAAATGGCACCACTTCAGTGAAAATGCCACCGAAAGTTTGTTTTGAGTCATTGGTAAAAGTGACAGGACTGGCATCTGTACAGTTTTAGTTTATTTGCATATGTTTTCATTCTTGCCACACAGAACCAAGCTCTAAGCTTATGCCAAACAAAGGTTGGTTACACTATTCAAATGGTAATGCTATTATACATTGTTTTTTTTAAGGAGCGGAAGCGGCGGAAATGTTTTAAGTGTTTGCACACTTCTGTCTTTTGCCACAAATCTGAGTGATTCTATCTATGCCCAAATGTGACATGTTAATTTTTCTAGTGTGAGATCAATAAAGTCTCTTATCTTGCCTTTATTAGTGCTGTCAAGCGATTTAAATCGCATTCTTGTCAAAGTATTGTAAAATTTCAAAATAAAGGATAATTTTACTCTGATTAATAAATGTGGAAATGATTTATTTTTTCCTTTGCGGCCTGGTGCGACTGTCCAACGGTCCACAGACTGGGGGTTGGGGACCGCTGCTGTAGGGTACCTGAGGCCAGGCACTCTTGAGCCTAAAATATGACCTACGTGTATTATACTTTTTTAAAAAAAAAATAGGAAGTTTATGTAGTATCTTTATCTCTCAACTTCTATTTTCCACTCACTCTTCACAATATGATCACAATTAGTGTGTGTGTGAGAAGGGACTGTGTGTCAGCACAATATGTTCTTATTCATTTATTTCAGTAAAGGTTGAATGAAGGTTGATAATGTTGTCCACACTTGTGCTTTTGCTCTGTCCAGATGACGTTGGAGGAGGTGATGACCACCACAGCGTACCTGGAGCTGTTCCTCAGGAGTGTGTCAGAACCAGCCCTGCTCCAGACCTTCCTGTCCTTCATCCTGCTGCACCGCTATGAGAACGTGCACATTCTGGACACACTGGTCAGCCGCATCAATACGCCCTTCCAGGTACCACACGACTGGGCAACTACGGATTTTGTTTCACTCCAGTTTTAGATTAATGGCTACAAGAAAATACATGTTTGGCACCATTTGACTCAAACTCTACTTTTCTATTCTTGTACTTGTGCTTTATAGTTGACTTTACTTTGATAAAAGCCAGACAAGGTATTGTGGATAGTATTTTGTTCAAACTGAAATAGGGTGATCTTGAGTACGAAAACTGCAGTAACTCTCACAATGTTCTATATTTGCAGTCTCATCATGAATAACCAATATATTCTGCTCTTAACTGTGTAAATGCCTGGAAGAGCCGCCTCCAGTGTTTGCTCACGTACACCTACAGTCCTTTCTCAACAAAGAACAAAGTGGTTCATAGTTTTTTACAAACTGTATTAAATTGAGACTTGAGCTGAATTCTCAAACATATAAAGGTTTGTGGCTCGTATTTTTAACAGTGATGTATCAGTGTAGTCACAAACAGCAATGACTTGAAACATTTAAAAGGACGAAAAGGCAAATTGAAAAAGAATGAGTATTGTTCTTTCATCCAAAACTTACCTGAAGTTGTTTTAAGCTTCATTCATGCCATTATAAAAGCAGAATATATTATCCTACCTCTACCACGAAGAACCTCTATTTGTTAACACTAATGGCTTATGTTTTGGATCACGTCAAATGCATTAAATTCTATAGATCCTCTGTGATATACAGCTGCTCTTTTCTGTCCACAGCTGGGCACTGTGTCACTCGCACTTTTCCGCACCCTCATTGGCCTTTACTGCGAAGACGTCATGTTGCAGCTTGTGTTGAGGTGAGCAGCCACAGATAATGACAACATAAAAACCTATGGATCTTGATTTGAAGTAGTAGTATGATTAATCTGGCCATTCTTGGAAAAAGCCTCCAGTTCTTGTAATTTCCTGGGACGCCTTTCTATGTACTGTACTACACGTTCGAGATCTCCAATCGGTTGAATGCATGTTTTTTTCTCCATAATGGCCTTTTTTCCAGAGTGTGCAAGCTTTTAAGTACAGCTGCATGCTAACTATGGGCAAAGAAAAAATGCTTTATGGTTACATTTTGCCCCAGGCCTTAGCTTGGAAACCCCTGATATAAACCGATCAGTTTAGTAGCATTACACGGCGTACGTCTGTGCGCCCTGCTGCGTGACCGTCTGTCCCTCCACAGCCCCCATGCTGGGCCCTAACAGGATGTCCCGCTCTGGTCTTTGCAGGTACCTGATCCCTTGTAATCACATGATGTTGAGTCAGAGGCGTGTGGTGAGAGAGAGGGACTGCTACTCTGTGTCCGCGGCAAAGATCTTAGCCCTGACGCCGTCCTGCTGCTCTCCGGAGCGCAGCCCGCCGCCTCTACGACAGCTGGAGTCCATCCTGTTCTCTAAAGGCTCAGATGCAACAGGTTGGAGTGATACTTTATGATTACATTACAAGCCTACGATTGTGCGCTCTGAATAGAAATGAATGAATTCTAGTGTTGGTGTTGAAGTGAAGGCACATGTACCGTTGCTGAGATTATATCCTGATAAATATCTTGTCACTGTGTAAACCTGAATTTATTCTTTTCCTTGACCGATTGAGGCCGGTGATGCAGTCCAACTGGGTTAAAAAGGATTTCATTTTTAACACAAACCCATTTTAATGTTTTGCCTATATTAATATTATTATGAAACTGGAGTTGAAAAGCACACCAAAATTACTTTTTTCCTCTACAATGGTTTGAGAAAATGCTTGAATATGTAGTTACAAACAACATTCCATCTATTCCACAAAGCTTTTCTTATCTTTTCCTTCCTCAGATAAAACTGAGGGCTTCTTTGATGACGACAGCTCGGGGAACTCATGCACTATCGGCTCTGAGATCTACCTGGACGTGAGCTACCTCCACTACCTCTACGACGCACGTCTCAGCATCAGCAGCTGCTTGCGCGCCTGCCAGGTATGGTCTGCGCCTTACGACGGCCAAGACCCTCCTCCAGACAAGTTCCAGCCCGGAGTACTGGAGGAACCGCTACTCAAAGCCAGACAAATTAACATTAAGAAAATCCAGCAACCGATAGTGCCTCGGAAACCACCTCCAATTAGTGACTCTACCGTGCAAGTTTTAGAGCTGGAATGGGACGATAGCTACGACGCGTGCCCGGTGCAAAGTCCCGGAGACAGTTTGGACGCTAAACCAGTCATGCCGCAAGAGGAGGCGCCTAAACACATCCAAGAAATGCGCAAGACGGCGACAATGCTAGTCAAAGATGCGTACATGGAAGAATCTGAGTTCCAAGATGATGTTCTGGTCTACAATCTTGTGGCAAAAAAGGACAGCCAAGATGCAGAAAGAACTAAACGCAAACCATCAGAAGATTCAGAAGTGCTGGACGCAAAAATGGATTGTAACTCGAATCTTCAAAATTCTGAAATGGCGGAAGATCTCCTGACCCAGTACGAGGAGTTGATCCGGACGTTGGACCCGGAGGCAAGGGGCCAGGCAGGAAGAGCGGAGGCAGAGGGGGGAGTGAAGGCAGCCGCCGTAGAGGAGGAAGAGGAGGAGATGGATTTCAGTTTTGCAGCAGAGACGCCCGAGTCGGACAAGCTGCAGGGGCCGTTCGGGCCGAAGCTGCGGAGCGGGAGTGCAAGTAAAAGTCATTCTGCGCCTTTCACAGGTCGGTCAATTATGCTGGGTACATCACTTTTTTGTAATTGTAAACTGTTGGGTAAAGTGTGAACAATTCAGACCACGCCATGCTGTTTTTATCTGATTTAGGAAACATTTCATCTTTAGAGAAAGAGCCCTGTCAGTCATTGATGCTTTGAGACTAGAGATCCTAACTGTTTTGAGAGCTAGGAGCTAGTTAGATGGATTTGATCATACAGTTCTGCACAAGTACCTCTTTCCTCAGTGTATATGTACCAGTGTATGACAGCGATGAATGAGTAAGGTATTAGTCTAATATGGTGGAACAACTTTCAGAATCAGTACCTCAGCATTAAGTTTAAGCAGATGTTACTCACCCATCCTATGAGAACTGTTTCACCCTTGAACAGTATGTGAAGCTGTCTGTTGTCGCGTAGGGCCCTTCATTAGCGTGCTCCTGTCCCGTCTGGAGAACATGCTGTCCAACTCGGTGCATGTCAACCTTCTGCTAACGGGGATTGTGGCTCAGCTCGCAGCGTACCCTCAACCGCTGCTGCGCTCCTTCCTCCTCAACACCAACCTGGTGTTCCAGCCCACCGTGCGCTCACTCTACCAGGTCACACATCACTCCTGCAGTCATAGTCTGTGTCCAGTCTCATAAGAACCCTTTAGTATTACTTGTATTAGAACTTTTCCACTAAAAAGCAACAGTGGTTTTTTAAATAATCTGGTTAACATGCATGTGTAACTTAATGTTGAGCCAAGAGCAGAGTTTTAAACCAGGCGGTAAAGCAGTTTTTGAATTTGGGAATGGAAACACATTTTATAGGTGCTATTGTCTAAAAAAACCTTTGGGCGTGCGTCAAAATTTGATGCAGAAAACAAGACGAAGATTTCCAAGTTAAACATCTGTATTTAATTTATCTTTACTATCAGATACAGAAATTCAAAAAGCTCCTTATCCTAACTATGCCTGCTCTCTTTCACTATGGGCTCACCCTATCTGACTGAACTAAAACATCAGGCAAAATCATATAAGTAATAATGTGCAGAAGGGGCGTGTCGTATCAGCCAGTTCCTGGTCCCGGTCTGGACTCTGCATCAGGTCTGGCCTTTGTCTGGTTTTGCCCTCCGCAACTCTCCATTCCACACCTAAAAAGGGATTCACACTTCCAACCTATAGATTTATTCCTTCCTTGAGATAAGGAAGAAATCTCAAGGCTGCTGTCACTGGTCTGGCATCAATCTCCTTCTCTAAACAATTCCCTTGTTATTCCAACAGCCCGCTTCATATAGAACAAACCTATGTGCAGAGACCTCAAACAACACTAACAACATAAGTGTGTAAAAGTGTTAGTACATGAAATCACTGAAAATATAGACGACGTGAGCAGCATTTCTGAGATATGCATCAGTGCATACTTCAAATATACGCAGTGCAGAACTCAGGGACCCATCTCCAGATTTGGATGCTCTGCTTGGTCAGAGCTACTGGAGCTGGATTTTTCTTATTGTACATATGTTTAGTGGTAGTGAAAATCTGAAGATATATGGTAATCAACTGGGCATCTGTAGCCGGAAATGTAAAAAACACATGATTTTTTTGCATATTTTGGTGCTTTGAACAGATATGGTTATCGAAATGTTGGATTATAGAAAGACTTTCTCAGGGTATACCGTTGAGCAAATTTCTGTAAATTCTTTAACTTTTAAAAACATCCATGAAAGACATGTAATAACTTACTTTATAACCAGATTCTCACTGCACACTCCCACTCAAACATTTAGAACACAGCCTGCAGCATGACAAACCCATCTAATACAAGTACAGGTAGGCACATGCATGTTTCCAAAACAGTTAAGACTTGCCATGTTCATGCTTATGTAAAAAAATGAAAAAAAAAGATTCTCCATTTTTTACCACTAGGGGGAGACCTCTGCATTGTATTGAGGCATAATTTTCTTACTGCATCCATTCATTATTTAGCAGTGAACAGGCAGTTGTAGCATTTTATTATAACACATATATTTATCGAACAATATAATATATATATTCTGTTTATGCTCCAGGTTTTAGCGATCGTGAAGAACCAGATAGAGGAGCAGAACGCCTCCAAAAAGGACTTCAGTGAGATGATCACCACAGCTCAGCACTGGCTGCTGGCCCGCGAGACCACATACAGAGCCTCAGGTGACTAAACATCCATATTCTACAAACATATATATACGTGCTACTGTAGGGAATGGATACGGCTCTTTGCAATAGGAGGCAAATGTAAAAAAAAACAAAAAGTGATCCATTGATAAAACGCTGTCTATATATAACATAAGTGATTCAGTTTTGACTATAATAATGTGTATTATTATATGACTTGGATCGTTTGATTTGCGGTCTGATATTTTCCCATCTCGGACCGTTACCATGACAATCGGTCCGCAGCGCATATATCTTTCCTAAAATAAAAAATAAATAATGAGCGACGACTGGGAGCATTCTCCCAGTGAATTCTATTATCCGGACAAGTTCAAAGAGCAAAGGCAAATAACGACGAAAACACAACTCCTAAAAGTCAAGAAGAGATTGACAACTTCGTTACAGACCAGAAAGGTAAAAACATGATTAGGAAAACCAAGTCGGACATGAACATAATTCACAAATATGTAAAAAGTATTGGTAAAGACACAGAAGAGATTGAGAACTCACCAGCGGGCGACCCCAATCATCTGATAAGCAAGTTCTTCATGTCACGATTTGACAGTTTGGTTGCATGTGTTTTTGCTAGTAGAAACCGATCGATATTTGCACAAATTAGTCATAAAAGTCATAAAATAGTCATATTAAAACATTTATTAACCTTGCTTGCTCGGTCTTTACAAAGAAATATCAGACCTTGGTTTTTTTGCACAGCCCTCGCCACGACTCGGTCTGTACATCAAGGCCGCGATATTTCTCTGTACAGACCTCGCGCTTGTTTAATAAGCCGTTATTATAGTCAAAACTGAATCACATGAAAAAGCCCCATGGGGAATGTTTGTTTTATCTTAAGTTTAATTGATTCCATGCCATTCACCTCGGCTCTTTACTGTGGCATTTTGTTACAAAGGAAGGCAACCTTTCTTTAATTAAGTTATTCTAAAACCTGTTCAGAATGATCGAGCACTCATGGGGCGTGAAAGCTATGGACGATCGTTTGACAGTCTGAGCCAAGTTCTCTGAGATTACAGATGAAAAGTTATTTTTTAACAATATTCCAATGTGCCCGTTTAACTTATATAATTCAAACTAATGACAGACTCCTTATACACAGAGTGAGATACATCAAGCAGTTATTTGCATCCCTAATTTCACTCCTTGCCAAACTTCTCTCCTTAAATTATATTAAATCCTACATTTGTTATGCTTTGTGCCGAATTCAATACCATTCAACATGATAAACTTTTAACCAATCACAAGAGAATCTCGAGCAGTAGGCGGCGACAGGGGGTAGATAAACAGAATACACATGTTGCGCATTATTCACACAACATTCTGAAGTCAGTAAATATAGTTAAATATGTGATTACTACTACTGTTGTGGTTGTTATATTTCCTTTCATAACTTTCACTATGTTGAAATATTTAAACAGTCCCTGCTGTTCAGCCAAGTTTGCAAAGCTTAATCAAAGCCATTATGTAGAGATACTGCTGCGATCCCTGGAGGTTGGATCATGTTTTTACTGGTTTTACTAACTACAGAAAGACTTTAGAAGTTATTTTGGAAAAGGATAAGAACCAAACAACATGTATTCTCTGATGTCTTGGTTGAAAGGAATATGTAGTCAGCTCATTCGGTGTACTTTTATTCTATAATTTATAATGCTGTATGAAGCTTGACTGGAAAAAAATAATGAAGAGTATGGTGTAGATTTGTTTTAATGGTACTTTTGTTACTATTTGGTTTTAGACTCATTTATTGTCATCACATTTACAATGACATTGCATTGTCTGGAAATTCTGTAGTAAAAATTAAAAACCAAATATACTGTAAACCCACAAAAATACGTAGCTCGCAGACATTCAGGCAAGAGATACAATTCCATTAATCCTGGATCCTATTTTTTTTTTTTCATGTGTTCCTGCTCCCCTGTCAGACAGATATTACAACATTTTCCCAGACAACTTTGATTGCAAGATAACTCATTCATGGACAAACAAATCCTGGGGAAATTCGAACTATACATACATTTTTTGGTGAATTGATAATGTAGATTTAAAATAAATGGCTGTATACAAACATAATCATGAATGTCATCCGTCAGAAAACTGCAAAAATGGCGACAGCAGCTCCACTGCGCGTGAACCCGTCCCGCTGCTCCAGAACTCTCCTCCTCCCAAGCCTAAAGCCATCTCCCTGGATCGCACCGAGGTCTTCGCCACCGTCCTGTTCTCAGAGTTCCTCAAAGAGCTGGCGGCCATCGCTCAGGAGCACTCCATCCTGTCCTACATTCCCATGGAAGAGTGAGCACGTCCAAACCACCCAAAATAGACTCATTTTAAAGAAAGCTATTTTGAAGTATTTTTTTCCAGGCCAGAGAATCACTTTGATATTTTTACACGTACTGTTGTTTCAAGGTTTGTGTTGAAAGCAACTTGGCGGCTGGTTCACAATCAGCTATAGGCAGAAACCAAAGACCAGTGACAGACAATCAGGACGTCTGGAGTATAAATGCACCAGCTTCAATCACACGTAATCTGTGCAATACACAAAAGGTCGTCACGCCTTGTTTAAATTAAAGCTGGGGTACCTAGCTTTCAAACAATTTGGTTTCATCACCAGTATTTTTTTGCCTCTGAAAATAATAATTAAGATTAAAGAAAGAGCCTTGTGAGTCACTATTTGACAGTCACGGAGATGCCGATGCAAAAAATGAATTTGTTTCTAATATGACTGCATGTTGTGGTCATCTTTGTTAGGTCAAAATAATGTATTTTTGAAAAAAGTGTGATACCCCAAGATTAGAGATTTACAATTGAAATGGATTGGTTTGTAAAATTTGATCTGACTGGGCGTAATCAACAAACTAATGATTCATATTCAGGAATTTAGTAATATGCCTATTGTAAAGTTGGTTCACCTCTCGCTAGTTTAGCAAAACTACAGAAACAAAAAAACATCTCAAATGTACACAATATTTAAGCCATCAAAAGAATATTTTAATCATAGAATTGATGATTAATTCCAGAAACATAGGACATATGCTAGTTTTGTTTCACACTTAAAACCAACTTTGCACATATAACCCAATTGAATGCAAACCAATTCAATGGAATGTTGTCGCTCTAAAACTGTGGTGCCTCCGGGGTCCCTCAAACCGCAGCCTTGGATGTGTCTGACATCCCATAATACAAAGGGTACGACTGACAAAACTGTGCTTCAACCTCACACCTCTCACCTGTTGCCTTAATAATCTGTTAGTTCAATAAGACTATGCAAATGAATTGTTGGGTAGAGAACCTGTTTGTGTGTATTTCTAGATGGGAATGGGGTATTTATGACGTTCTATTGCCACATTAATCCATTCATTGGTCTGAAGTTGTGATTTGAATTATTTGTAAATATGTAAAATTACTTTATTTTTCAATAGATAATTTGGAAGCAACAGATTTCAATTTATACACCACACCACAACACAACCAGGCCAGTGCCTTGATTCTATGGTTATTTATATTTTGAGGCTATTGGGTGAGTAAGATGCTTAGTTATTGGTTCCCCTTCATTTTTTGTTGGTGAATGATAGACAATGCACTTTTAAGGGGAAATAGGATAAACATCTCATCTGTTCTTTCATATAATCCTGTCCATATATTTTGATCATTACAAAATGTTGGTTTTGTGCTTGAGTTATGTCTTGAATAAACAAGACTTCTGTTCAAATGGCTGCTGTTTTTTCATTTTCCCGCCCCGCAGCCATTTTGACAAAGGCGGAGATGGGCGTGACTACGTTTGTTAATATTTACAGTCTATGGGTGCAATAGGGATTGTGGGGTTCAGCAATGGCAAGTCTAATATAAAGTAATGAAAGGAGGAAAATACAATTCAACAGAAAGCTTTGGCCAGGTGGAGGATCCAGCATGTTGGTTAAGAATGTGATCAAAAGCCATTTCTACAGGGTCAATAGGGGTGTGCTAAAATGATTTTTTTAGATTAGAATAAAATGTTTCTATACATGTTAAATAAAAAACAAATGAAGTATACATGCAGAAAGTGTTTTATTTCTAAACAATACCAAACTTTCTTTTTTATTAGTGGGCTCTGATAGTGCCCTAGTAAAAAAATCAAGGCAATTTTTAGACATGAATGTATCTTTAAAATAAAAGTACAAATAATATCTACAATTTCTCAAGTAATGCATTATTTTGACAGGATAATGTAACTGAAAAGGTCCTTTCCAAATAAGTTAGACTTCTTCTAATTCTGCGTCAGCACAATCGACGTGTCAAAGTATACATTTCCCCCATTTGTCAAAGTAAGCAACCACTTTATTCTAATCTCGGCCATGTTTCAGGGAAGTGGGTCGTCTATCCAACTCTGTGACTTCCTGTTACTTGCGTGGCAATAAAAATTATTCAAAATGATCTTGAACACTTTTTGCTCTGGTTTTTAAATAATAAAATGGATAATACAACTATAACGTTTCACTGAGGTTGCTGTCACATCCACATGAGGGCGCTGTCTGCCCACTCGCCTTCAGTGCCATGCGGGTGTGACAATTGTTCTTATTGCAGAACATAACTGTGTATGAGTCACATCAGCGGATCTTCAGGCCACACTAATGTCCCGTAATGATTGTGGCAGCGCTGCAGAGGTAAATACAAGCGAGGGGCGGAAATGAATTAAATGCAAATGTGTTTACAACGATCAATAGTGAATCTCCTTTTGTTGTTACAGGAAGTGATTCAATTTGCACGGAACATAAGACCGATCTTTGATGTTAATCCCTATAAAAGGAAGTAACACATATGCTATCAGTATTACATTTATGGAATTGAAATGTTCTCAATCAGCGCTAAAAGGAATAAATTAGAGATTTTTCTTCCATGAAAAGTATTCATCAAACGTGATTAATGGTACAACATCCAGCAACTACACAGGCCAGAGGTGGGGCATGGGGGAAAGGCAAGGCTACGGCGATCCCTTGACGAGCTTCAGATGCGTTAGTAAGTAATGTTTACTTATATAGCGCATTTTACAGACCTAGGTCACCCAAAGCGCTTTATAATGTTCAGAGTCAGGTATTGTTCCAATCATTCCACACACGGTGATGACGGAAGCGAGTCGCCAAACACACTGGACCATCAGCCCCCAATCAACACCATCCGATCACTCTCTCATTTACATTCATGGGTATTGTGCTGTGCTGTGTTTTAGTGGTAGGGGAAACCGGAGCACCCGGAGGAAACCTACGCAGACACGGGGAGAACATGCAAACTCCACTCAGAAAGGCCCTGTTCCGACCGGGATTTGAACCCAGGACCTTCTTGCTGAGAAGCGAGAGTGCTATCCACTCGGCCACTGTGCCGTACCACACACATTATCTTCTGTATGCTCAAATAGATAAACACTGACCTTTGAGATTCAAATAATATAACTTTATTTCCATAAATTACTCTACACCACATATTTACAGAATATTTTACACAAAGATCAGTTTGCAATAAAATGTAATGCCAACATTTGCTTCAAAATGATGCAGTGAGGGCCTTTCAATTTACTATTCAAATCACGTCTGCAGGTTTGAACTTAACGTTTAGCTGCAGTAGTTTTCCACACGGCTCCAATTTTCGTTCCAACGCTTTCTGGTGGCTCTTATCCACCACTCTACCATGACAAAACTCTCCCCTACCAGAGGCACACTGAAACACCCCAAAACCCCAGAGCAGCTTTACTTGGGTTTATGAAGTCTTGTCCTGTAGAATGGTCCGCACCAGAACGGGGTCAGCACGTCCTTTGGTCTCCTTCTGCACCAGACCCATCAGCTTGTTTAGCACTTTTCTGTTCCCGTTTCGGATGGCAATGACCTAAACAGAATGGATACATGGATTCACCAATTACACACTAAACATGGCTGTAAATAAAGAATAAAATAATTTTAAAAAACAGGATTTAAATGTAGGATGTTTAGGCAGTGAAGTCTTCAGTATTCGTAAGTATTTTCTCTGCTTCTGATTGTAAACATGAGTAGTGAGGGATGCATTGCAATTTCTCTTTTACCAAGAGCACATATGTAGAATACTGGTATGGCTTTTATCATTGCACGCTTCACAAGGCATTCATTCTCCCCATACACAATGATAAACTACTTATGTAGCCCCAGCTGCCCTGGGGCAGACTGAAGCAATAATCATTCACAAGTGACACCCGGAATACCTCAGTTGTATCCCAACACAGTGCTAACCAGCAGGTCCAGCCCTGCTGAGCTTCTGGGATCTGACAGGATCAGGCTTGTACATGAGATATAAACTCACATAAAGTACATGTAATGCAACTAAATAAATATTGCAACACCAGACCACATATCACAGGTAAATATTTAGTGCGGGAACTCTCCACTCATTTTGTCATAGGAAAGTTTATGATTGTCTATAGACATTTTAGTGAGCGCGTTGAACGTCTATAACTGCCAATTATAGCAGGGAAGAAGTGAAAAAGAAAAGACATTTGTGCAAGTTGAGTATGTGAGAAGTTAGCTTTGTTTTCTGCCCTCTGCTGAATCTGCAAACAAACTGTTAAGAGTGAGTTATAGTCTTGCAGTTCTGTGATTGGTCGAAATTCTCGCAAGGATTTGGCGCCAGAGTGTTCAGGCTATTGTGCAGTTCGACATGATTCAAGCGCACACAGCAGCATGGGTATTCCAAATGTTTGCATGATTTTAAATCATGTTGTAAACTTTTTTTTTTCATGTAAACATGAAATGTCACCATAGCACTTTCTCGCACTCACCTCATTCGGGTGCGAGTCTACGATCCTCTGGCAGATGCTGTGCAGTTTATCTATGTCGCTAACAAGTCCCAGGTCCTCCTCTTGAATGATCACTTGTGCCTTCTTTCCAGGTGACCTCCACATCTCCTGGAACACCTGTCCTCCACACACACAAACGCGCGCACACATTACACAACCACTGCACTTGTAAAGGCAGCAGTAGTCCTTCTGCTCTCTGCACTGACCTGCTTAGCCACAGAGGAGGAGATGTGCCCATTTTCTTGCAGTTCCAGCAATTCAGCCAGGGCAAAAGGACAGATTGGGCTGAAATTGAATGAAGGGTTAGTGGATTAGATTGAGAAATTGTTGTTTTTAGTGTGAAGGAGGGTCTGCTTTATCTTAACGCGATAGTATTTTACCTGAACTTTTAGCCAATAAAGACAAAAAATTAAAAATAAAGACAAAGTCTTCTAGCAAACAATTGAAATAATAATACAATGTCTTTAAGTTTGTGTAAGCCCTAAGTCGTACAGGGATTGGTCAAAGCAAAGGAAGGTTTCTCACCCATCTGTACTTCTTAGCAAGTTTTCCCGACGTTTCGACCTCAATCCGAAGGCCTTCTTCAGGGAATGAATTCTCAGACCACGCGTTGGAGATTTATAACCTATGGGTGTGGTTAGCCACACCCTAATCCTGATACTAACTCATAAACAATCTAAGGTCTGTTTGATGTAGAAGGGAGCAGGTCTAACGACCCTGCTGAGGCTGATGACCCTAACTCCTTAGCATGTCACAGACCTATTGTCTGCAGGTCTCACCCCTCCTAACTCATTAGCATATCACTGACCTTGTCCCAAGTTAGGGCGTTGTTTTTAGGATGTCGTCATAGATGCGAGGCAAAACAAATCTTAACCCTCCTCCTCTGTTAAGAGAAGGTTTTTGTTTCCTCACAAAAATGGCTTCTTTCACCCCTCTCTCAAACCAATTCTTCTACCGTGTGGTTGGAGATGAACAGCCGAAGTCCTTAGGATTGAGGACGAAACGTCAGGAAAACAAGTACAGATGATGGGTGAGAAACCTTCCTTTGCTTCAATACAATGTCTTGTTTCTTGTTATCATTTGTGGGAAAAAAATGAACTCACACTCACCACTTGATCATGCCCTTTGAAACCTAAATTGCATGTCAAATTGATGCAGTAGTTTGGATGTGCTGATGATCTGTCATCACACATCTCTCTAACTTAAGACTAGCTGCACTTCATGGGGTTAGAGCTCTGAGCAGCAGTGTCACCCTATGAAATCCAATGCAACTCTAATGGTGCTATAATTTATGAGAGTAAAGGAAAGGCAAAAGCTGGCGATGCCACATGAGAGGAATGGGGTCTATGATGACGAGTGCTAACCATTTCTACTAATGTATTGCTGTTTTGTTTGACTAAAGTTGACACATTCATTCAGTTTAACTGACCCGTGTGTGGATTTTAAATACAGCAATTTATACTGAAGCGTCTCCAGATTCATGGCTGTTGTGTCCAATTCGAGCAGTCATCCATTCATCTATTGATCCAATAATACTTGTTTCATGACGTTTCAAAGACCACCAGCGCCTCTCATATTAAGTATCACAGCATGGCACAAACAGAAGCAGCTTTGCCATTTTTCGAGGCGAGGTCTTCAGACGCAACAGTGTGAGAGGTGCCATGGCAACGTCACTTAACCTCATAAAGTATCAAAACAATGTCATTAGCATTCTGGAGTGTTTACAAAAAAACTGTGGGCGAGGGAAAAGGGGAGTTCAGCGGGGAGCGATCACAACGGATCCGTTTGAAAAGCATCAATTTGACGGATGAGCTATTTTTCAAAACAGTCTGAGCAAAAACTATAGTTCTGTCCGCCTGATCATCACCCAACTGACGTGTGACATGAAACATCAAGTAAAATGGTTTTAAAGATCAGTGATTTTCAAACTGTGGCTCAGGGTCCAAAAGCAGGAAACAAATTATTAATAAGACTCAAACCAAGAAAACTTGGCAAACAGAAATGCCTAACGATATAAAGTGGATAAAAATCACTAATGATTAAGTTTTCTTGACTACACAAACAAATGAGTAAAATTCCTTTGAGAGGAAATAAAAGAGCATTTCAATTAGTGCAGCCAAACCAATCAATGTTAAACCCAGCAGTCTGTTGCTGCAACTTATTATCTTCTTTATAGTTTACGTCCAATTATTTATTTGTCTTTGCTTGGTTAGGTGTGTTTGGTTGTGAAAATGAAGAGCAGTGTTTTACGACCAAAAGTAATGAGTGGGTTTTACCGTAAGCCTTCTATTTGATGGGATTCAAAAGTGGCAGGGCTAAACGCACATTTGTAATGTCATAATATGAATCTCAGTCACAGCCAATTAAAGTAAAAATAGTATTACAGCCACTGGACCATTGCAGTAAGAATGACTACAATAAAATCCCATTCATTCAAGCGTTGGCCATGAAGAGCTGATCTCATCAGGCTGTATCCAACAGACATTGAGTGTTTCAACCCTGAACTGCAAAACCCTCAACATTGGTGGGTCAGCAGAGGTGGCCAAGTCCCTGCCCATCAGCTCCCCTTGGCTTCCAGCTAAACTCCTCTCTCCTGCTCCATTACCAGAAACACTCTCCCATCCTGCGAACCGTCGTCTTTCTCTCCCTCCCCATCACCCCAATGGCAGTGAGCATTCTCCACAATGACTGGGCAGGGAACCCTCTACAGCTGACCTGGACTGGGAAGAGCCAGCCTCCTCCTGCAGTCAGGCAGAGATCCTGGTATTTGCTCTTTCTCTCAAATGCTTTCTCACAAGCCTCTTCCCATGACACTTGTTGGTCTGGCTCACTTCAACTAGACCGATTCTGGGTCACAAGGGTAGAACATGATTTTTTTGTGGATGTAAAACCACCAAACAACAGAACATGTGTACACTAGTCACTTAAAAGGTATGAAGGGAGATATTTGTACCAATTACAAATATGTGATAATAATGAGAATAATTAGTGTACATCAGTACCTCACTGTCAAATCATTGCTTGGCTTTCCGGACACTCAGTCAACTTAGTCTGTGATACCCACAATTACAAACTTAAATCACAATAAGAATAAGTGGTCAAGCTATTCGACACAGACAGTTGGCAAAGACTATTGTTATATAAATAAACTATCGGTGAATAGGGGGGGGAACCTAAGGGTACCTCACGATACGATACACAATAATATCACGATAACGATTTTATCACGATATGAGGATTATCGATATATTGGTCAGAAATATACAATATGCCAATTTATGGCATAAATAAAAGAATTTTTATTTTTTTCAAAATCAATATCGATACTTGGCAAATGCATATCGATAATCGAATCGCGGGAGAAAGTATCGTCACACCCCTATTGGTGAATAAAATTGGATATTGCCATACTGTTTGGCCACTAATAGTTTGGACACTAATAAACTCTGGCAAATGTTTGTACAATATAACAACAGTGTATTTACAGGACGTGGTCTGGTCTCACCTCTGGCTCACGCTCTGGTCCTGCAGCTTGAGTCCACCCAACAACTCGTTTGTCACCCAGCCAATCACCTTCCTTGCATTCATTTTGGTCTGCGTCATCACAGCCTCAAAATACTCCACCAGGCCGTCCTCGTTCTGCACACAAGCACTTTTTTTGTCCTGTGTGAACTTCCTAATTGGGTTTGTTTCATTACAGAGGAGACAGCATACAGCGCGGTAAGTATGAAACAGGAAGCAGACATGACGAGATACATAACAGGACTCAAATGAACAATTCTTTCTTCACAGTGAAGAAGATGACAAAGTCTGGGATCGCGTCTTTCATTCAGACAGAAGACATGTTTTATTGTCAATGGTAGAGACAGCACGATCAACAGATACAACAGAATGCAAGTGTATTATACAGAGCGGAGGCATGGAGACCTCCAATCAGCAGCTTCCACGGTGTGCTTGTAGCTTGGCCTTCAGATAGACAAAACAAGGGAAAAGTACTGGCTTCTGCACATTGATAGATGAGTTTAACTTTAACAAAAGTTGCTTAAAAGTGTTATGAAATCTCACATTCCCCCCTCTGGTCATACATTCACGTGTGACCATCAGGATCGATAAACAGCAACATAACATCATAACTCAATACTTAAACTCGGTACTTCACTCGGTACTTCAAAAAACTCAGAACTCGGAATACTTCAAAAACTCATAAAACTCATAAAACATGTTCAGATCTTTCATAAAACTTGTCAACAATCTTCAGTAAAATACCAAACTTCATCAGTCGATGGTTCCAGATATTGCTTTGAAAACAGTCTCTCCCACTTCTCCGTGTTGATTTCTTCAGGCTGCATTTGTGTCGAGCCATGAATTCTTCTGTGACGTGTCTTTCAATCACACGTTTCAGCTTCAGTGTCCAGATTCAGCAATTCAATTCAGTCCAAATTATGTCCAAATTCAGAAATCCAGATTGTTCCAAATGATGTCCAAATTGTGTAATCCAATTTTTCCAAATGGTGTCCATGCAAAAGAGGACGATGGTATTGTCCATGTCTCAGCAGCTCACAGCCTGACTGGAATCAGGGGCTGTGCAGATAGTCCAATTGTGCTGGTCCAGATGCATGGTTTCTCTTGAGGTTTCTCAGTTTTGGCTTAAAAAAAAACACTTTTTGTGTAAAAAAAAAAAAAAGTCTTCTGTTCTCTAGATGTTACAGACAAGGCCCGCATCCTTCCACCACCTGAAGAAGATGTGCCAAGTCTGGGATCGCGTCTTTCATTCAGACAGAAGACATGTTTTATTGTCAATGGTAGAGACAGCACGATCAACAGATACAACAGAATGCAAGTGTATTATACAGAGCGGAGGCATGGAGACCTCCAATCAGCAGCTTCCACGGTGTGCTTGTAGCTTGGCCTTCAGATAGACAAAACAAGGGAAAAGTACTGGCTTCTGCACATTGATAGATGAGTTTAACTTTAACAAAAGTTGCTTAAAAGTGTTATGAAATCTCACAACAGCATTCAGAAATAAACATGTTGAAGCAGCATTAAACTTTAGGATTCTTCGTTGTAACACAGCCAGATAGATAGATGTTAAATTAACTGAACTGAAGGCACCTAGAGGGAAAATGTGAAGATCTGAGATTCTTAAGTCATGGACAATATTGTGTCAATTTTTGTACTGATAAATAATTTACTTTGGAGAAACTAAAACAATTGTAGGGTGTGGTCAAATTAATAGGAAAAAATATATCACCAATATAACTCAAAGTATCCAATCCAGGTACTCATATGAACAAGACCACAATGTAACAGATTAGATTGAATAGGCTGACCCACATTTCTGAGAGTACATATTAAAATGTATGTAGGACAGAATATAGCCAGTGAAAATAACCCAGAACCTTGTTGGTGTGAACCGAGAGTGTGTCCATGCCGGTTGATACTCACCACTAAGGTAAAGCCATGTTCTGGCAGGATGCTGTAAGTATGCACCAGTCTGTCCCGGGTCACGTTGGGCAACTCGGGTAGTGCTTCTCTGAGCTCCTGCACCACCACAGCCTGGCTCATGTCCAGGCCGACGGGCAGCGACGCCTGGTCCTCGTAAACCATCAGGGGGGGCAGGTTTGGCTCTGGCATGAACCTAGGATGAGGTTAAATGTGTTTTTAATTATAACCAAGCAAAACCAAGTCTAAGATGTGTGTCACTTTTTAACCCAGGCACCTACTAAATCAGTCACCACTAGTACAAGTTTTATTTTAAATGGCCTTGCATCCAATTAAAGGTTTATATGATCTTATCTTACAATGTTGAGTGTTCATCAAATCAACAGAGGCCATATGATTATAATCAGATAGTGCTTCCTCAGCAAGCAAACAATTGGAGATTGTCTAAGTGAAATCCAAAAGCCACAAGCCATTTAACTCACGATTCAATACCACTGGGGCAACCTGTCAAGAGCAGTACAAGTCACCATCTAAAATTAGACCCTTAGAAAGTGATAATTGCTGAACCAAAATTCATCACACATTGAAGTGCGAGTGCAAGACATAAACAATGGACCTAACTACAAAACATTGTCAAAGAGAATGTAATACACAATAATAGTATATAATAAATATATAAGTTATAACTCTAAAAGAATCATGCAAATATTTAGTCATCTGATAAATATGTTCATTTGGGAATTTTCTTGAGCCAATGCTGGAAATGGTTTTGTAACTTAAATACATATGTGCCAAGGTACAAGCCTGAGTGATGTGTTTATTTCCCGAGTTCTATTTTTACCCCGAGGTTGTGTCTGAGGTCTTAGATTGTTATGATATGATATCAGAGTGTCAGTACACTGAGCTCACCTGTAGTCCTGAAGACCCTCCTTGTCTCTCATGGAAATGGTCTCACTGAAGAACAATAGCACAACTGTTATTAAGTGAGAAAAAACACAATAAATTGAAATGTTGTAATTTTTTAGGTTAGTGTTACAGTATGTGACACATTTAGTTATGTGCGCATCACTCTAAAGGAAAACATTGTTTAAGAATATTTATAAGGTGTGTATGCTCCTTTTAAAATAAATTGACCAATAATGGCTGCAGCTGAAAACATAAGGATTAGGATTTGGTGAAGCTGATTTAGGCCTCAGCTGTGTGAGAGCCGCCAACATCCAACACCTGGTGACAGTGGCCTCTAAATATCTCCATCCATCATCATTACTTTGGTCGCTGCTCAACGTGTGCCTCTGACTAATGAACCAGGAACTGATCCCACTCCAAGGAGGATACGGTCTCGCCTTACCCAGCTTTGGAATCATATGCTCGGGTTTCATTCTGTACAGTCCCTCCGCTCTCCAGCACTTGGATCTGCCTCTGGATTTCATAGTCTGTTAAATATACACAAAGAGGTACAGCATCCAATAGTACAAACCCTTCTCATCAGGTGGAAATGCCAAACATCTGCTAGTGTTCACTGGCAAATCCTGTGTTGTGTTGCAGCAGAAAAATTGAGCTTTTGTGCATGACTTTTAAATATCTACTCTACAGCTCAGACGGCGCAGTAAATAAAACTATATTGACTAAAGTAAGGCCTCACAACACATCAAACTCAACAAAAAGACATTAAAATTCAAGCCTTCCTTCAGCTTTTTATGCTAAAGCCATTATCTGCAGCCGTGGAGCATAAAATGTGTGCCTTTTGAGCAACTGGAGGAGGCAATTGTTTATCATTACATGCAGCTTCTGTTTTATGTGTGAGAGCTATATATGTGCAGACACTTCAAGAAGCAGGCATAATTATGCTACCATCCTACTTTGTCAAGGTTACTCGTCATAGCCACACACAAAAAAACTTCATTAAAACATCCATCCATTTTCTCTCTATTCCATTTTTGGGTCTGGGTGGCACCAGCCCCTCACTGATCATTCTGCAAGTGGCGAGTCGACAGGAGGAAGGCTTCTCTGTCAGTGATGACACAGCCTTGATCTTTCAGTAGGGGTTTCAGGCAAAGTGGGTTTAAGTGTCTTACTGTATTAATACAGGTTTCCACAGAAACTTGTCACTTTCAACCTTTACAGCCTCTTACAAAACAGGCCATTAGGATTGTATTTAATATCACACTGTTCATAGAACTTTACTAAAATCTATTAGTTGAAGGCTCTTACCAATGGCCCGCGCTAGGTATCTTGCACTGTTGATGTTTTTCACCTCAGTCCTGACGCCAAGGGGATCTCCAGGTTGGTGCACAGACACGTTGGCATCCACTCTGAGCTGTCCCTCTGCGCCAAAACACAAGGTAGAAGCACAGTCAGAGGGAACTAGGCCTGGATCTGGCCACTCCCAGAGAGAGATGGATTGGACAAGATAGAGGGAGTAGTAGTGAAAGAGAAAGAGTGAGACTGCCTCTGTACCAGACATGTTCCCATCACAGGTGCCCAGAGACTGCAGGATGAGCTGCAGCTCTCGCACTGCAGCAGAGGCCTCCTCCCCACAGGTCATGTCTGGCTCCATCACCAGCTCCATCAGACCAACACCTGCACGCAATTTAAAAAATAATGAATGAAAACCACTTACTAAAAACAAAAAATATATATACACATAAAAATATATTTTTCAGAAATTCATTAGGGTCAGTTATAACAACATATTTTTGCTGGCTCATTACCACAATATTGATTGAGGTAGATATTCTGAATTATTTACATTACTTTCAGTAATCAGTTTCATTTTAGGCGGTGTGTGTAAACTACACATTTACTGTCACTTTGAAATGTATAAAGAAATATGTATGACACCTGCTTATGTTTTCTAATAGAGCACTATAGTGTGTCCCATTGTTATAATAAACAAAATTTAGTTTTTGTTGAAGAACAACTGGGGTCAAAGTAGCGGCTATTATTTGGTCAATAATTGTCCCCACTATAAGGGAACAGATTGTTGTTATGCATCTTGTACACAAAAATCCAAGATGGTAGAGATAATACATTTACATTTCAATAGTCCTACCTTCTTGGCCTGGTTACCTGCTCTGTTGAGGTCTATGAGCGTCTGGCTTTGTACGTCGTCATGGAGACTCTTGCCACTGTCCTGCTCGAGTTGAATCTGTTTGATGCGGACACTTTTTCTGAAGACCTGGTTCTTCGTCTTCCCTCCCATGAGACAGTAATTTAACACTCCATCCACTGCAATGGGCATCCTCTGCTGTGTAATCTGATAACCAGCCTGAAAAATGAAGAAATTATTAACTTCTGAAATCCTTTGCTGTGTGTTACTTGTTGTAGAAAGGCAAAATATTTCCCTGAGTGCAATGGTGCGATTACAGAACAGATCAATAAAGCCAGTATTACAAATATTTAGCTCACCGTGAAATTGGGAATTAAAACTAGTGCGTTTGATAATCTCTTGGAAATCCTCAGAGCCAACATTTAAGAAGGATTATACACCGGGTGACAGAGCAGAGTTAAATTGACACATAGCACACAAGATTCCAAAAAAATTATAAAGTGAAAGTTCCGGTTTGGCAAGTCTCATTGAATAACTTCTGTTTAAGGTCAAAGAATACCAAAACATCTTGAGAGGCAGTAATTAAAATCCACCTAACAAAAGGGTCAAATCAAATTTCATAACAATGAAAATGTAAAAAAAGAAATCCAGTGACTATTGTGCAATTTCTGTATCACAAGATGGAATCATGAGGCACTACTAAAAATGTCTTAATAGAGCGTAACTTCAAGACACTTTTGCTTGTTTTTCTTAAGCACTTTGGTAAAAATTTTATTTAATAAATTCAAATGTTGTGGTTTATGAAACGCCTCATCCAAATAAGTAATAGACAAATGCTAACATTGCACATCAGCAGGACCTTGCAATTTCTCCATAATGAAAATGTACTAGACTCATGTGTCTGTGTGTTGAGGTTAGTATGGATGGAAGAACACATTTGTACATTTGTTGTCATATGTCAAAACCAAACAGTCACTGAGGAAATAATTGTATGGGTCAGAATAAATCACATTATGATCAAATAGGGTTTTATTACCTGTAGCAAGAAAGACATCAGAGCCTATAATTACTTGAACCGTAAAAGCCCTGAGCCTGTGGGGGAGAGTTAGGCAGCACTCTTCATCAAAATAGAGATTGCAGAAGAATTGTGGGTTCTGCTCAAGGTTGCTTCTTAGAAAAGACTTTCGAATAAATTTCCCACCCAAGAATTTGTGTCTGAATGTCTATGGTTACTATGGTAACTGCCTCATGGGTGCCAAACATAATACATAACAGGAGGGGTAAAAATGAGTGATGGTGGGAAGGAATGAAAGGGTAACAAAATTACGCGTTAGGGATTTTGGTTTTCAATTTTGTTTCCCTTCAGCAGAGATCATCTCAGAATCTGCAGGATTTTGGTAATGCAGGTGCAGCTTACGGGAAATCCTCTGTAGCAGGCTTAATGTTCAAGAGAAGTAAACACTGTTGACGTTGGCTAAAGTAAACACAGATCAAAGATATTTCAAGTCATAAGAACCTTGAAACTTATAACATGGATAATAATAGAGTCACTTTCCGAAACAATTAAGTGGTGATTAAGTCATGATAAATGAATAGCAAAGCTTATTGAAAAATAACTCTTTACTTTACTTATATTCTTTATGTGTTTTGGCTGTTGATTCTCTGATCTGTGTTGGCGATTTCAATGGTTTTGTTAAGTCCTCTGAGATGACTTCTGGGCTATACAAGAATACATTGTAATTGTATTGTATTGTACTTAACAGCAATTCTATTACTGTAAAGTCATCTCTCTGCATTATTTTCTCAAAGATCACAAAAAATACCACAGATCTGGGGCACTACATTTACTTTCACATACGGCCCCATTTTAGGCCATACAAGCCTGTCAACTTTAGCGTTTAGTCTTCATAAGATGAACACATGCTCAGGGACAACAGGAGATTGATTATGTTATAACATGGAACAAGGCTTCTTTCTTTTCAAGATCAATTTAACATTGTATTTGTTATGATATGTCCTCATTTGAACAGGCAGCCCTGGGCAGATGAGTTCTTTGTATAGATTGAATTAATAGTTCAATGTAATTGGTCCAAAACTGATGCATTATTATATAAATTAAAATTGACTTTGCCTGGAATGAAAAGGAAACGCTTTATCATTTAACGGCAGACTTTTTTAGCTTCCACAATTTCCGCCCAAATGATCAAATAAGCAACCCACCCATGTGCACTCAAATGAACACTAGCATCCCTTGCATGATAAATAAGCTGCTGCAGTGTCTAACTAAAACAGGGAATAGTCTGTGCTTAAATTAGACTCCACTATAAGGTTGCTAAGGTCCTCCAATTATCACGAGAATTTCATGGGCACCAATGAGCACACGCTCTGCTTCTGGAGACTTTCCAACCCTGCATCGTCACCATCCTGATTCATGTTACGCACACTCAAGCCCCATCTGTGCTGAGGGAAGCCTCGAGTCACTCTGCGGTCAGTCATTTCAGCTTTGTAACCAACAGAAGCCCAAATAATTAAGGATTATTTATAAATTTATTTTAGAAGTTTCTTATCCAAAGCTGATGATGCATGTTAAGGTTGTTAAACAAAAATAAGTAGAAAAAGATGGGAAAACAAGCTTGTCATTAATATAAAATTATTGCTGAGATTACAACTGCAACTTGTAACTTCTATGCAAAAAGGTATACTTTTCTTGAATATATGTTAAAGTAGTTCCCTTTAAAATGCCCTGGTGGTCATTAGTCACCTGTCCTCATGTGGCCCTCATGTTCTGCTATGGTTACAATTCTGAGGAAGGAACGCTTGTCAGACAACCACATTAATCATTTAATGAGGGACTGTGGTGTTTTACAAAACGCAATCTGGGTTTTCTATTGGACCGTATCAATAATGTACAAGCCAATTTACAACTGTATTTTTCAAACTGTGATCATTTCCTCCTGAAGCCGTGTTCCCTGCTCCACAACTACAGATTACACACTGATCCTAAATAACTAATTAAAACATTAAATAACCTTGCTTAAATAAGCTTGTCATCACATAGTTTTCTGGTCTGACTAACAATTTTTAAATCACAATGTTATTTTGTAACAAGTCAGTAGTTTATAAACGTATGAATAACAAAAAAACACATTGTGTGCAATATATTTATTGGCAAGGAGATTATAAATTACAGAAAAAACCTGCAATGTCTGCAGTTTTTTTTTTCACATAATGTCCACTAATCTTTTCACCAAATCCATTATTTCCTGCACTGATATTAGTATTCAGGATACAAATATCAGTACAGTAGGGCATAAAAGTATTTAGTCAGCCACCGATTGTGCAAGTTCTCGCACTTAAATTAATTTTCATCATAGGTACAGTATACCTCAACAATGAGAGACAGAATGAGAAAAACATTTCTAGAAAATCACATGTTTTGGGGCTGTCGCTGGGCAACAGACTTTCAACTCCCTCCAAATGGTCCCTATGGTTTCATCTGACCATATGACATTGTACCCATCCTCTTCTGGATCATCCAAATGTTCTTTTGCAAACAAACTTCAGACGGGCCTGTACATGTACTGGCTTAAGCAGGGGGCCACGTCCCTGTCCCTTGAGGGACTATTGGTAGACTTTGTTACTTTGGTCCCAGCTCTCTGCAGGTCATTCAGTTCCATTTTTCAATAATTGCTCCCACAGTTGATTTCTTCACACCAGGCTGCTTACCTATTGCAAATTCAATCTTCCCAGCCTTTTGTATTATCACGAATGCTAATTCCGGTTAAACTTGGGGTAAACTGGTTAATTCTGGTTCAGGATCAAGTTCAGTCCTGGCCAGTCAGAAATAGATCATTCTTAGCCGTTTTAAAAATATTACCCATTTTTTCCTTACATACCTTACATTACTGCGTTACAGCAACAAGTAATATATTACCGTAATTACATTACTTTTATAATACATTACTCCAAATGTAACCCCTATCCCATATATACAGTGGAATGGTAGTAGTAAAAGAGTCTGTAGGCTAAGACTGAAGATATAGAGTTCGCTCTGGGAGGTGAGTCAGTAATCAATAAACAGTGGCTTTAGTTTGCAAGTTTGTATATTATTACATATTTACAGTCATGACATCTAACATTTTCAAATACAGCGCTGCGCAGATTAGAATTCTTCATTTAATTCGCTCACTAGTCCAAAGAAAAAACCCCAAACCCAACTCAATTTCCCAAGGTCCAAACAATAGCCAGGGCTACTGTAAAAGTGTGTCCATTGAGCTCGTATTGCTCAAGAGTTCATATAAACCACAGTGCATGGGAGTACAGGGCCGATCTCCTACCGCATTGGTGGGGTACTTGCAGCAGTAGTTCTTTTCTGGGCTCAGTTCGCCATCAATAGTGATTCGATTCCATATCACAGCAAAGAAAAGACCCGGCCAGTTCGAGGCGAACAATCCAGCCTGTCACTCGCTCGGAACGGCTCAATCGCGTAGACTACTGCTGCAGCCCTAAACGCAGCCTCCCCCATGCCTCCCTGTACAAGCGACTCGCCATCTTTAAAACCCCAATAGTCACATGACCCACGTGATCCCAAACTCCCTGGAGCAGGCGCCAGACCCAATGGAAATTTGGGACCATTTAGTTTTAATAATAATACATAATAAAAATACATTATATTTGATATGTGATAATATTTATATTATAAATAAAAAATATTTATATTATATTTAATGGGGTACACAAACACTGCCTATGATAACAATTACAGGACTCCCTCACCTTTTTAAGTGGGAGAACTTGCACAATTGGTGGCTGACTAACTTTTTTGCCTCACTGTATTGGATTGGTGCATGAAAATGAATATGACAAATTGTGAATAGTGACAAAGATTTATATTGATGCAATTCTTCTGAAATGATCACCTACAATTCTCTAGCCTGAGCTCTGGAGGCTTTGGAGGGGCAGGCAGACTACCCTCTCGGAGTAGCAGACGGAGGTAAAGTCAAGTGACAAACATAACAGGGAGTGGGGCAGCCCTGCATTGTAGAGTTGTTTGAAGAAAGATAGGATAGGTATGATCTGGCATGATCATCCTCACTGTGCGTGTCAACAGCTGTGAATGGATTGGATGGAGGTGATGTAATCTTGGGCAAACACGACAGAGCAAGAGGAAACCAGCGGTAATCCTGGCACTTCTGGAGGGGATTTTAAGGGGATTTTGGTGATAGTGCACACAAGAGGGTGATGTATTCTGATAATAGAAATAAACTCCAGACTTGAGATAAATGTTTGAGAAAAAAAGACCCTTGGATTTTTCCAGTACAAAAAAATGCCTTTATGATTCCATAAAAAACTATCCTCCAGAACAGGGGTGCTCACACTTTTTCAGCATGCGAGCTACTTATAAAAGGATCAAGTCAAAATGATCTACCTACTACAAAAATGCAAATCATATATTTATTTCAAAAAATATTCTTTATATCTACAATGTATGTTTATGTACATGCAAAACCGCATGAGCCAATATAGCACAACACAACACAATTACCTATGTACATTTTTTGTCATTACCCGAGTTTACTCTTATGACTTGCACTGAATTGAATCGGCCAGGGATGCATAGTCCGGAAAATTGGTGGTAACTCGCTGACAAGTTTGTTGTGGTTTAGCTTTCCTGCACTGAGCGCGGTTGTTTGCGCATGTGCAGTCACCTAAGTGTCAGTAAAACATTACTGAGTAAAACACAGATGTCATTTGACTGTGGTGCCATGTCCATGTGCCATGCCTGGTTTATTTAAATCCAAATATTTCCCCTCCTCAGTTTATACAATAATTTGCATCCACACATCTGCGTTATCAGTCACATTCGTAACATTCCAAACATGTGCGTCTCTTACGTCCTGTCCTGCGTTGGGGAAAAACACAGAAGTGGGCGGAGCTTTGATGCAGACGCCGGTAACGGCACTTTTACAGTCATAGAAGACACTCAGAGTAAAGACGTATGTTTACAAGCACTGACCCCGTCCTCAGCCCTGGTTTAGTCCTGGTTTAGTCCTGGTTTGGTTCTGGTTTGGTTGTTTTCGAGCGTGAGTCCCCGCGATCACTTTGCTGCCCTCTGATGTGGAGGATGTTCGCTGCTGCGAGCATCTCACAGCGAACAGTTTTTAAGGTAGTATGATCCATGCTTCAGTGATCAGAGGAATTAAGGGGGGTACTGTGGCGTGCGAGAACGCAAAACTCCGGTTATCTCTGTCTACACACAAATGCATTAACGGAGTTTTCAAAAATCTCCACTTTGCCCGGAGTTTTTTGTATATATTAGTTTAGAATGTATAATTTTTTTATTTATTTAATGCGATCTACCAATACTACCTTTGCGATCGACGTATTGAGCACCCCTGCTCCAGAACATTCTTAAAATTAGATGTGTATTATGACATACAATTTGTTTCAATGCAGGCAGATACAAAAAAAAAGAGCTAGTACCATATGAGCAATATTTTTTTTAAAGCATAGAATGAGCTGTCAGTGTCATCTACAAATTCCAAGGGCTGAACTCTCTATTAAACTTCTCCCCAGAGGAGAGCTGAAAGGGCCTTCTGTCATTTCACAGTTCCCTTGACATTTAGTTTTTTGCATCTGAAACTGAAAATGTCACTCACAATGGCTGAAAAATTACCTTCAGGCTCCACGGGTTACAGGAACTTTGACTTGTGTGAGCTCAATAACTGAAGAGCAGTAACTTCACTTTAACAGAGCTGACGAAATGGAAGCATTTGTGTCGAGAGGATTTGACTATCTTGTATCCTTTCACTGCCATATAAAAGAATTTATATTCCTAAATGTCTTTAATTGTTGCCAGATTTCATTATTTCATGCATTTTTGATAGTTTTCTAAAATCTTAAAAATGTCATCTAAAAACTTTTTTTGTGTGTGCAGATTTATGAAAATTTTTATACATATTTATTTTAGCTGTCATTGCAGAGCTGGTTTGAATTCTTGAAAAAAAAAAAAAAAATGTCTGAGCCAACATATAAAATCAGTAAACAAACAAGTTTCCAACAAAACCATTGGTCATGCTCTCACTAAAATCAAGAACATATTTGTGGCATAGGTATCCAATTTACTATTTCAATGCATTTTACTCTTTTATGGTTCTGTAGAAGGAATATTGGACTTGCATTATCCCAAGACAGAATCATTCAAAAAGACCCACATACTGTGAAGATCTTTCTTTTGGTCATAATCCATTTAACAGCTTTCACCACAGAGCTCTGATCTTAGCCCACTGCAGTGACGACTGAAATAATGATGTGTTTAAAGGTGGTTCTTCAAATGATCGGCTGGGAAGCTAATGACCTGCAGATAATGTAAAGTAGACGTGCAATATAGGAAATGAGCTGAAGATAATATTGGTCATTTACTCTAACAGCTGTTCTTCTGTACTTGTAGCGAAAAGCATTCTGGTCGCATCAGCAGGATTCGCCTGAATTTCCAATTACGCTGCTAGAGTTCACTGAGAGAACTTAATAGGCACCTGAGGACAGCATATGCTCTTCAGATCAATTGAGCAGTATAAGTACTGGGCAGTTTTTTTTAACAGTTGTTTATTACTTACAGGGAGGTCGGCGTAGAAGTAGTGTTTCCGGTCAAACAAGGACTTTCGGTTGATGGTGCAGCTGAGTGCCAGGCCTGTCATGACTGCTGCCTCCACACATCGCTTGTTGAGCACCTACAGACAAGTAAAGCAAGTTGATTGTGATACAACTACACTGACTCTACACTGACTCTCATTACAAAAATTTAATCATTTGTTCATCATAATTTCCGAGTAGTGATGCGCGGGTCAGCTTTTTTTACAACCCGCCCAAAATTAAAACTCAATCCGGCCCGCCCAACCCAGAGAAGTGTGCATTGATTTCTCAACCCCAGCCACAGTGGGGCGGCTGCGGCTGTAAAGTGCCAAACTGCCGTTGTGTCCTTAGGCAAGACACTTCACCCCCATTGCCTAGAATGAGTCTGGTGTGTGTGTGAATGATTGGTGGTGGTCGGAGGGGCCGATGGCGCATACTGGTTGCCTCACTTCTGTCAGTGTGCCCCAGGGCAGCTGTGGCTACAGCAGTAGTTTATCACCACCGTGTATGGAGTGAATGAATAATGACACATGTGAAGCGTCTTTGAGTGTCCAGAAAAGCGCTAAAACCGATGCATTATTATTATTATTATCAACCCGGCTCACCCCGAACCCGCAGACATTGAAACTACTGTTTTATTGTCAAAATCAAAGGACAACTCTTTTTCAGATAAAACAACATCAAATGTTTAATTGACTGAAAAATAAAGGTCAATTTACAGAACGGATCAGGACATTTTTAACATTTCCTTAAAGATAACATTTCCATGGGTTCGGAAGAAATAACTGTTAATGTCAGGCTTGTTATTGAAAATGTATTTTGCTCACTAAGGGTGTTTGTCACAATTAATTTTTCGTTTAACAATATATTATATATAGGCCGATCAGGAGCTTTTTGACCCGGCCCACCCGCACCCATCATCATCATCATTTTCATCCCTTTATTTCCATTTCTAGGCTAAGAGAGAGTTTTTATCACAGAGCAGTCACACTCCTGAACTCTCAACCAATTAAAGCCCACTAAATGCACTTCAATGTAATGTAATATAATTAATGTACTGTATATACTAGCAATAGCAGCTTGTACAGTCTCTCATGTATGCAAATATGTTTATCTGTGTTGTAAATATTATCCTATACTTGCGCTATTGCACTACTGGTTAGACGCCAATTTGCATTTTGTTGCATTGTTCTGACTTTGTAATGACAAAAAAAGTTGAATCTAATCTAATCTAATGTTGTAGAATGGTAAGTGCCCTGGATCATCACCACAGTCCTTTTTGTTAGACCCACTAAGAGGCACGGTCACACAGGTTTTTACAAACGAACTAGGCCAAGTGGCCCACATTCTCAATAATAATAATAATCACAAAGTGGGCCTTGGCACATGCACAGCTTTAGGCTGTGGCTGTGCAAGTGCAGCCTAAAAGACCTGTCTTGGCAAGGAAAAACTCTAAAACCAAGAGAGAGAAGTGAGAAACCTCTGGGACACCCACATTGAGTGAGGGATCCGCTCCACACGAACAGACGGGCTATAGATCCAGGACCTAAGAAACAGAACAAGGACCAAAGCCACGCAGCAGTTGTAGAACAAGGACAGGTGCGGCGCAGGAATGAACTAGCTCACAGGCGGGTCGGAGGTGCAGTCCATACGGACGGGTAGGGCAATCCGCATTGATGCATGTGCCGAATGACCCGCCCATGCATCCCATAATAACAATCTAGTGCCGCTCAAAGGCTTCTCATTTTGAGAACTCTCCCCTACGCTCTCCTCCCACTGAGCAATCTAGTTTCAGTAGCGATCTGATAGGCATTAGTTAGCATTAGCACAACTTCTTGTAAGCTGTACAGCAATCACTGATGAAATGGTACAAAAGCAACACACTGCTAACTAAATATACAGTACAATAACAGAGAAATTACCGCTAGTTTCACGTCCAAATGTAGTCCAATGGAGTCCGCTCCCGCAGGTCTCTCCAGAGGACATTATGTAAGCTAGCTATGTTCACCCGGTTAGATTTCTTCTCTGATCATTTTTTCGCTTTAGTTCCATCTTCTCCTCCTCACTTTTGCGTTGTTTGGGCTGTTTTGCTGTGTCTGCAGTTACAGCCAGAGTAGGTATATCCACCTTCTCCTGCCATACTGCTCTTGTTTACCTGCACTGTCGACGCTGAGGACGCAGCCTGTTCGTAACAGCGCTGCCACTTGTTGGAGGAGAATGAGCGTCACAAAAAGTCTTTACTCAGCACTTTTTACGGCCTGAATTGGAACACAAGCTGAATCAATTAACTACGTTGTCATTTATTCCATTCATCCATTTACAGAAAAATATGGCATAATTTTGTTGATAGTTCAAAATGCGATTAATTACAATTAATAAATGTTTAAGCTGTAATTAACTCGATCAACAGTTTTTATTGTTTGACAGCCATAATAAATAAATATAATATAATATAAATATATATTTATAGCCATAGCCGGAGAATTCACAGATCCAGCACCACTGATGTGTCGTGTTAACTTTATGTGTGCCGTTAAGGCCTGCCAAGCTTCTTGCATCCAGAAAACAATACCACTTAGCAACGACTTTTGTTACCTTTGGAGAAGTATACAAGGCACACCTACAATTATTTACAATAGTATGTCTAAGAGCTTCAACCACAACAGTCTTCTTCAGGGAAATGACAAATAATTATGTTACCATATTTTGTTTACTGTGAAAAAAAAACAGACAAGAAGGCCCTCACTTTGTAGCTTTTAGATAACTGAATCACATCTGTATATCTCCACTGTATTCAAAGATAAAATATAGTATATCAAACTGAAAACAATCATCATTGTGCATCAATACATTTTAGTTGAAGCTTCAACAGTGAAATGTGTGGACAATAGCAGAGTAGAGCCTAATATTGACTCACAGGTAATGTTCCAGGTAAGGACGCATCAAAGAATGACACCAGGGAGTTCGGAGGAGAGGAGAAGCGAACTGGAGAAGGTGAAAATAGTTTGGTACCGGAGCGAATCTGAGCGTGGATCTCCAATCCCACCACCCCCACCAGCTGCTGTGGAGAGCTGCAAAACAGGATAATCACAACAGGAACAGCACAAATCAATGACTTTTACATATAGTAAAAGTGAATATTGGAATTAGATCATTCTTTATCGTCAGACTGAAGAGGGAAATCTGATTTTAGACCTGCAATTAAACAGTAGCCCTTTCATAAACACAACATACCATAACATACATCATATTACCTAGCAATACGCCATGTTTCCAATAATGGAATGTTACAAAAAATATAGGGCATATTCTGGAAGGCAATGTTCCCTTCCCTCAATGCACATGTGAGGAAAGGTGCAGATCATATAAATAATACCTTTATTAACAGAATTGCAACAGAGAAATACATCTGAAACCTTTGCGTCGCAAAGGACATGGCTAAAATCTCAACGTCGAGCGCATTTGTCTTACCTCCTGGGTTTCACTTGTGGCTGGCTGGTGCATTTACCCACCGATGTGCTTATTCTTCTAAATATACACAGATTAACTGGATACAAACGTGGGATTCGTTTATTAAAATAGCAGAGAAGTTCACTTGTGGCTGCACAAGAGGCTGCCATGTTTTCTCCCTGTCATGCTGGACTGTTTAGAGTGGGAGTTGTAGTTTTTGAAGACACCCTCGCACACGTATTCTCGCGAACGCTGAGCAGAGGAAAAAACTACAAATAGGCGGTCACTATCCAGCGGAAATGACGTCACATCCGCTTTTCGACAACTGGCGGGATTTCCCTTCACGTTTTATAAACGCAAAGAGGTTTGTGGTCATTATTAGCTCATTTCTCTTAACGCCTCAAGTCAAAAATGATGGCCACGAACGGAACAGCAACATGTAAAGACGTTCAGACCAATGGCGAGGTCGCGACACCATCTTCCCCGCTCCCAAACAACTCGCAGCGGTTCACCTTCAGCTCAGAGCCCACCATGGAGGACATACGGCGCATGCAGGCAGAATTCACTGACGAGCGAGACTGGAATAAGTTTCACCAGCCTCGCAACTTGCTGCTGGCGATGGTCGGCGAGGTGGGCGAGGTGTCGGAGCTGTTCCAGTGGAAGGGGGAAGTGGCGGAGGGTCTTCCAGACTGGAGCGACTCAGAGCGCGAGCACCTGGCGCACGAGCTCAGCGACGTGCTCATCTACCTGCTGGAGCTCGCGGAGAAGTGTCGCGTGGACCTCCCGCGAGCGGTGCTGCAGAAAATGGCTCTGAACAAGTTGAAGTACCCGGCCAGCAAAGTTCACGGGTCTGCTAAAAAGTACACGGAATATACTGACTGAAGACGTGACATTGGTTGCAATAACTGCGTCTGCTGCTGCTACTGAACTACCAAATATGGACTTTTTGAATGTTGGCTCATTAACAAATGTGTCAACTTCGCAGCGGTGGAGACTGGAGTACAGTGATTTGTATTTGTTTATCCATTCCATCCGATAGATATTAAAATACAGCCATGGTGTGAAGTGATGAGAAATGTTAAAAACACGTGTCCTCGTTATGCTGCATGGAACGACTAAAAACATGTGTTTGCATCCAGTTAAAGCGCATGATGGTAGATGTTTACTTTTTTATCCTGTTTTTAGCCTTTCAGTACTCTGAACTGGGCGTGTTTTGCCATTTTCTGTGCAGAAACCTGTTTTATTTTATCACCTTACTGTTACCTAAACCTTCAGCTGCAGGTATGTCTGGCACCACTACTGTTCTGAGTCTATGGCACGAGAAAAATGTAACTGGTTGTTTTTGTATATCCAATGTAGGGAAAAAAGGAAATATTGTGTGAGATGTCTTTGGTTGGTGGAGTAACACTTTTTGTTACATAACTGCTTGCAAATATTTTTCTAAAGTAAATTTTGTACAACTAATTCCTGTTTTTTGTCAATTTTTTATCACATTTTGTAGATACTGAGTTTTTAGATTTAGGATATTATACCCATAGGAAAAAAAAAATCCTATTCTTTCAATCTTACTAGGACAACTTCCCTGTTACAGTGCAGTAGGCGTCGTTGGTCTTGACCAGGACTAGAGCTGGAGGATTTGACCTAAATCCTCATGGAGTATATTTTGGACATGACATTAGGACTGATAAACTCACTTCACATAGAAAGACGGGGGTTGACAAGGAATGTCTAAGCTCTGTAGGGGAGGAACTCATTCCATGTGTGCTATTGCTGTGCTTATATAACTTTTCGTGGCTAAAATTCAACAATAACATGTAAGTATTAATATTTTATTTTTAAACATGTTTCTGTTTTCTGATTGACAGCCTTGCAAGTAAATTCTGTTATCATCCTTTGGGTACGGACCATGCATAATCCAGTTTGCAGCAAGGGTCAAATTACACTTCTCAAGACACGTAAAAGCAATTTGTCAAATGTTATGCATAGTCAATTAATCAGAGGAACAATTGCTAATCAATCAAAATATTCGTTTGTTTCAGCTCTAGTTAATGCATAAATTAAGTGGGGATCCTGTAAAGTTCCAAGTATGTTGTGTCTGGTAATATGCATAACCTATATTTCCATGAGTTTGGTTAAATGATCAAGACCAACATCTGCAACAATCAGATTCAATGCTCTTTTCTGTCTGGAATTCGCATGGCCATGACCTGATGGTCAAAACTGCTAAGTGTAAGTACGATAAACATTTGAAATGTCTTAAAGATCCTGAGGGTTAAGGAACAAGACTGAGCCAGAGGATCAGAGGCGTCCCGTGCCAACAGGCAAGGCAGGCAGTTGCCTGGGGCCCCCAAACCGGCTGGGGGCCCCCGAGGGCCGACTGATTAGACACAAGCGGTCGACTTGTACAGGCTACAACCATGGATCTATTATAATAACGGCTACAACAGCTATCTGCAGTGACGAGTTGGCAGATTAATCTTCATCAACAGATAAAAGCCCTTACTGGGGCAGAGTCTGCATTGAATGTCACAGTAGTCTTGTGGTTAAGATGCAGCACTCTTAACGTAGAGACCCGCGTTCGAACCCGAACGAGAGCAGTATTTTGGATTGAACTATATATTATATGAAAGATTGCTCAAGAACGTTAAAAACAAGCCGTTTTTGGCAGAATAAAGTTAAGAGCCTAATCTAGATTATATAAACACTGAGGGCCAAGTGATAGATTAGATTTTGTTGGATGAATACACTTTGATAGGTAGTTTTTGTAATTAATAATGACATTATGAGTGTAGTGAACAAGCTTATAAAAAGACATGCTATATATTTCTCATTTGAAATATAAAATACACAAATATATTTGTGTCACGATAAGTACTGAAGTACTCACAATTTTCTATGGTAGACAGTACAGTGTGCCAGGCAGGCCCCAGGGCTATCCATTTATTGTTAAAAATAAGAAATTATCTACATTCAATTTATATGAATGAAATAAGTAATAGATATTGCATTTTACCTTATTATTAAATATATATTTATACCTAGAGTAATAGAAAACCTTTTTATGTGGTTATGTGGTCGGTATCAGGGCCCCCAAGGACTCTGTTGCTTGGGGGCCCCGGGGTACCCTTGGAACGCCACTGCAGAGGATCAGAAGACGGGGCATTGCTAGACAGTTTTATGAAAGAGAATTTGATTCTCTGAATGGATGTGGAATTTGACAGAAATATCAAAGAACAATGGTGCCTATTTCAAAAAAGTATGCAATGACAGTGTCTGATAGTGTCTCCTTTGCGGCAGCCCTGTTTTTGTCCGTTTGCCCTCCGATAGATGTGGCTATTTAAGAAGTTAGTATTTACCTGTCTCTCGTTTTTCTCAGTATGATTTGTTTAGGCTTGATCATGAACAAACATTGAAACAAAGTGTTTTAGGGTCTACTTGAACTTCTATTGCAATCACCATCAGATTTTGCACAAACATTTATCCCTAACTTTGGCAATATTCCAACTTATTAAGCCTTATTTGTACTTTGTGCCCTTTGCAGAGTTAAAAGTCATGCTGCCATGGCAACCCTATCTGAAGATACACATGGGGCTTAATTACTTTTGACAAGTCTTGAATCTGACTTGGCTTCCTGTTTACAGAGCAGCCATGCAGGCAGATATAATCAGACCGGGTGGTGACTCAAAACTAATGTTGGACATCTTGTTTTTCTATCACAGATAAGACGTTTGTCAGACTATCTCATTTTTGCGAGAATATCATATACGCCTTAGTTCCCGTCTATCATTTTGTACCATTTCCTCCCTCTTATCGTTATCTGCAGAGCGCACAGACAGACGGCACTGGGGAGCTGTCAGTGAGCCGGGGGTAGAGCAGTGGGGGGTCTGGTCCCACACACACACAGGCACGCAGCACTCCGGCAAAGTGTTTACTGGATCATGGGAAAACATTTGATATCTTCCTTTTTTTTGGTGGATTGAGACGCATCTTAAAAAGCCCTGTGACTATGAGAGATTAGGAGAGTCTTGGCTTTACAGCAACTACATACTGAGGGGCACTGGTGTACTTGCTAATGCCAGTTTCTTCAACGATAAGGAAGACAGTCTGGTTAGGCACCTCTTGTGAAATGGAATTTTTGCAAATGGGCACACACTGGAGTGATTTGGTGTTTGAGCCCTGACCTCATCAATCTACACGAGCAAATACCCTGCTCAGCACATACCGGACCGGCCCGCGACAGTGATGGACTCACCCACATGGGAACTTCCAACCTCTCACACTCATACAACACAACACAAAACATACACAAACACTCTCTGACCCTACGCATAATTCTTATGACTTACTCTTCGCCGTGTTTTCTCCACAAACTCTTTAGATAGTTTTAAGGTCAAAGTGATCTTTTTTTTACATCCCGGTTGGGTAATTCATCTTCTCTATTTGAGCCATCCTGATGCTTATAGGGCATCTATCATGAGTAGTAATCACTGTAGTACAGCACCCAGGGAACCATGTACACAAGCACAGGGAGAGCATGTAAACTCCACGCAGAAAGTTCCTGTTCCAACCAGGATTTGAACCCAGGACCTTAATGCTGAGAAGTGAGAGTGCTATCCAATCAGCCACCGTCCCACGGTAACATTTGTAACAAGTTTGAATTTGATTGCACATTGATTTGTACGTATTTCGAAATGTTGTGTATGGCAGATAAACTGTATACACAACTACAGGCCCAATTTATAAATAGTACCTTGTAGTTATTGGAATACATTGGAATTATCTGGTGTGATAACAACGCTGTAATTTGAAAAAAAAAAGTGAATGTACTATACCCAAAGTGAATGTACTTAGTAAAACTTAGTACTTAGTAAAACATTTTGACCGTTCTTTGCAGATGAAGCAGTCCTCTTCTCATCAGGTCTTTATCCCCTGCGCCCAAAGAGCCCACTTTGGATCTGGAGTCCTGACTGGTCTGCTCTCTGTACCAGCTCTCTGGTTATCAGGAAGACAGTTTGAACATGACAACCTGCTAATCCCGCATGTTTAAATAATTTATTCTGCATCCAGCTCCATCGCTCGTTCTCGTTTAAAACACAGTATTTTCTCCAGCCAATTTTTTGTTTCTATTATGTGGCCATTATGTCTGCATGCACACTTTCTGTTTCTTTTTGGACACTAAAACCATTCACATACAAACCTGACTCATTCTAGTCAATGAGGGTGAAATGTTGCCCCTCACAGCTACAGAGGTCTGACAGGATCTGGCTTTCACCTGCAGGTGACATCATTGTTTCATCACTTATACCTTCACCACTTATTGCCATCCGTCACCGTGAAATAACTTTTTTCCAAGGTGTGAATTCAAACAAGTACAATAGTTGCTCTCAAGACATTCCCTGTAAATGTCTTCCCTGTGCATGAGGATCCTTCTGGCCTGGGCAGAGAACAGTGCACAAAACCATATAATAATCCGCTGGTTTGGTTCTTTTAAACTGCTGCGCCACTTCTGCCTTGAAATTGAATTTAACAATACGGATAAGTTAAAGAACTTGGCTCAATTCCACAATTTATGTGGATATCTTTTCATAAATTTGTAATCAATTCAACTCCACGAGTTTTAGTAAAAAATGAAATAAAAATACAAACTAGAAAATGTGATAACTAGTGAACTACTCAATTACAATCTAACCAGACAATAACTTGAAGATTGAGACTGACATTTTTCTTTAGTGGTCATCATCTTATCGTACTTACCTGAGTTAAACACATTTCAAGCTAGAAATTTAAACTTGAATGGATTGCTGTTTTTATATGTAGTGCAGCAAATATGCCAAAAACTCTAAAAAGAAACTATTGCTTTTGGACCTTTGCTAAAATGCTAC